GTCTCATGTCTTAAGCCTGTTCTTTCCACTCTCCCAACCCCCAGTTAATGGTATTTAACGTGGGTGCCACTGTTCTCTACATCACGGCCTTCATCACCTGCTCTGCTTCGGTTGAGCCGACATCCCTGAAGGGCAGCCGGCCATATAACCAGCGTGCAGCAGCCTCCGTGAGTATGGTTCCCTGGGGCACCCTCGGCAGTTACAGGGCAGTCGGGTCAAAGCGCGATCTATGCCCCTGGACTCCCACTGCTTCCGGATCCCAGGCCAGGCACCTGCCACAGGCTCAATCACCCTCCAGCTCCAGTGGACTCACAGGTGTCCATGTTGTTTAGTCACTAAGTTGGGTCCAATTCTTTGCGACCCCATGGACCACAGTCCGCCAGGCTCCTCTGTCCGTGGGATTTCCCAGGCAATAATACTGGACTGGGTTGCCATTTCCTTCCCTGGGTATCTTCCCGATCCAGAGGTTGAATCCATGTCTCTTGCACTGGCAGGTGGCTTCTTTACCACTGAGCCACCAGGTGTCCATAATTAACAGCAAAACCCCAAGGAACCAGAATGCTTGGGAAATGCTGCGGGCTGGCAAATGAAGCTTGGGCTACCTGTTGAACTTTGCTGTGCCACACTGATCTAGGGTTGTATGTTTCCTTGGAGTCTGTTAGGAGCTCTCTATCATCACCTTTGAGAAAGGCACAGGCAAAAACCTTTTGGTTTAAACTATTTGGGAGATTCTCAGGTTCTCCTAGGCAACCCAAACTTGGGATACATGTCGGGTAAAGTGTCAGAACCCCACACACCTGGCATGCCTCACACATGAGTGTTCTTCCACTCCCTGTGTGTGTGTGAGGACAGGAGGGTTGGGGGGAGAGGGACTGCCAACCCTTCGGACAGACCAGGAAACTGAGGCTCAGAGTGGTGAAGGGACACACCTGGACTGAGCCCCGGGTAGGGCTAGACCCGGACTTGGGCTTCCTCATTCTTCCTGGTGAGGATGGTTTTGGAATCTGTGAACTCAGTCACCAGAAAAAAGACATGGAGATTTCTGGAATGTGAATTACATAATATTCCTAGGGCAGCTTTTGAATGTTGCCTTTTAAAAAACTAGATCCCGGAGCTGTGTCTAAAGCAGCTCCTACCTTTTTGTCACTTTTGGCATATTGTCCAGGCTTCCTTATCGGTCTGACACACCTTGCCTGTATGGTTAATGCAAAGTTAGCACCCAAAACCTGGTACCCATCAGCCCGATAGTCATTAAATGACCGTAGGGTAAGCAGGAGTTGGTGTGGCTCATTTGGTTAATTGAGGGGCTCTGGTTTCCCTGTCTGTGCCTACCCTCTGTTTCACTGTTGTGGCCACCAGTCCCCCGTGACATGCTTCAGACAGGCTCACCTCTGTGTCTTCTCTTTCAGTTCTTTTCATGTTTAGTGATGATTGCCTATGGAGTGAGCACTTTCCTCAGCTTCCAGGCCTGGCGAGGAGTAGGCAGCAATGCAGCCACCAGTCAGATGGCTGGTGGCTATGCCTAAACCACCTGTGCCATGGGCCACTGCGGGGCTGAAGGCTACAGTCTGCTCCCAGTGCAGGTGGCTCCAGAAGCCTGAAGTCTGCGCCCTGTACAGTCAGCCTGGAAGGGACTACGCGTGCTCATCTCTGCTCATCAGGCTCCCCAGGCTCACCCGACATGCCCAAGGAATCAGGGCTCTTCCTCTGGCAGGCATGTGGCCTGGAGAGAGGCCAACAGCCAAGACTGTCCTCTCTGCCGTCCATATTTCAGAAGGTGATGGGGGATACGGGACTCTCTTGCTTTGTCCTTAGGACTTCGTGTCCAAGGCTGAGAACTAGCCTTCTCGCCGGCACTAAATACACTAACAGTGACCTCCACACCCGCAGCCCCTGACCCACCATAGAATAAGCCTAACAAGCAGCAAGTATCTATCCTAGTTTTTGTTCTGGGAAAGCTGAGCAAACTCATGAAACCATTCTGATTCCTGAAAACATTAATTCTGGTCTGACCCTCCCCCAAGCCAACATGTCACTTTATAGGGAAACATGTAGAAAGGGTTATGATTCTGACAGCATGGTTTTCCTTTCCTGCCTTTTGAACGTACCAGTTATTTAAAACAAATCAGTTTTAAGTGACTCTCAATGATGAAAACCTGATCCAGGTGTCCCTCCCTTTCCCAAGCCCTTGTCATTTTCCCCTTGGGGAAACCAACATCAATGCTGACTGCCTCCCTGACGCTGTTAATTAGGCACCTGGGACGGGGGGGAAGTAAGGCCTTGCTGCTGAGTTGCCCTGTGCTTGGTGGTAACTTTTTGTTTTTTACAAAAATAAAGACCGAAGAACTGATTTGGAAAAGATGTTGGGGAATCATAGTTAGAGATGCTTATAAACACCAGGAAGCCGCAACCTAAGTCAGTACAGTTGACCCTCTGTATCTGTGGGTTTCACATCCGAGGAGTCAAACAATCGGTTGATATGCCTACCTTGATAGCTTGTGAAGTTCAGAGATCAGATAATCCAGGTGCTTAGTTTGTGGAGCTGACAGTAGAGAGACAGGGGAGCAGCAGAGAGAGGGGGGTCCCTCTGAGCTTATTTTCCTACCACAGCACAACATGCTTTGAATAACAAGCCACAGGCGTTTCTGGACATCCCATGGTCCCACCTTAAAAAACTGGGACGAATGAAAGTGTACTAGATTCAAACAGTTGTGGATGAGCTACTCTCTGGGGGAGAGGGGCAGGGGAGGGGGTACGTTAAGTCAGATACCCATGTCCCAGCTGGCCTGGTATAGGCCTAGTTTGGGCCTGTTGTCCTGAGATGACAATTAACTGCCTCTCTTTTTACTCTCCAGTGCCTCAGAGTTTGAATAATAAATTAGTCATTGCAGGGTCAAGCCATAAGAGCATTTTTAAGGAGGACCGACCTATTTTGAGGCTTAAGAGAAAACAAAATCCTCAGCTAGGCTTCTGACACCCTGAAACAGCTTCTTTGGGCAAAGATGTTAACATGCTTTGTCAAACAACTACCTTGTGGTTCAGGCTGATGCTCCCCTCAAGTCCTCAGCCCCTGCTGTGTGGGTGAACAGTGCTGCCCAGGGCTGAGGCCTAAGCTATAGGAAGAGGCAAGTGTCCCCCGAAGCTAGGGCCAAACACTGGGCTTTCTCATGCTGGCCAGACCTGTTGCAGTTCTCAGCTGTGTCTGACTCTGTGACCCCAGAGACTGCAGCATGCCAGGCTTTCCTGTCTTTCACTATCTCCCAGAGTTTGCTCAAACTCATGTCCATTGGGTCAGTGATGCCATCCAACCATCTCATCCTTTGTTGTCCCCTTCTCCTCCTGCCCTCAATCTTTCCCAGCCCCACGGTCTTTTCCAATGAGTCTCTGCATCAGGTGGCCAAAGTATTGAAGCTTCAGCATCAGTCTTTTCAATGAATATTCAGGGTTGATTTCCTTCAGGATTGACTGGTTTGATCTCCTTGCTGTCCAAGGGACTCTCAAGAGTCTCCTCTAACACCTTAGATCAAAAGCATCGATTCTTTGGTGCTCAGTCTTCTTAAGGGTCCAGCTCTCACATCCATACATGACTACTAGAAAAACCATAGCTTTGACTATATGGACCTCTGTCAGCCAAGTAATGTCTAGCTTTTTAATAATGCTGTCTAGGTTAGTCATAGCTTTTCTTCCACAGAACAACCATCTCCTTGGAAGAGAAGAGATACCTGAGCCCCTCTAAAGGTGGCACATGATGATATAAGTTCTGGAGTGGACAGAGAAAGAATTCTAGTAAGTTTTTTTTTTTTTAATCAGAAAGTCTATTTCCTAATAGGAAGCTACAGCAGGCTTGCCTGCTTTTTTCTCAGTGGAAAAGGAGAAAAAAAACCCATCTGCCTTTCTTGTTCACTTTTCATAATTTCATCTTTGGATTTGTCCACTTGCTTTTTCTCACCTAGACTGATCAGCAGAGTCTTCATCAAGTGCTTCCAACATGCCCAGCCTGTGATGGGCAGTCCCATTTATCAAAAGAGCAAGAAGGGTAAGCAAGGCCAGGAGAGTCAGTGTTTAAGGAAGCCTTTGGCTCGAAAGACCAAAGCTCTGATAACTTGATGGCAGCAGCAACAGTACACAGGGATTGGCTCATTTAGAAAGATGGTTTATGCAAAACACCTCAAATTCTACTCATGGTACAAAAGTATTTAATAAGTGCCATGTCGGTACAGAAAAACACACAGCCTATAGCTCATCCTTTAAAACCAAAAGAGTCAACTGAAAAGTTAGTAGAGATTCCTATTTTTACTTTAAAAATAAAAAAAAACTAAATACACATTGGAATTGAACTACTACATTTTTCCTTTCACCCATGTTTTCGGCCAGTAATGTCCCATCCAACACTATAATAAGACAATGTACTGAATCTAAGCAGATGACCAGTAAAGCTGTTTGCTATCTCCTACTCGTGCTAAGCTAGACCATGGAACACTATCTTGGTAGGATTATTTTGACAGCCAAGAAGGAAGTGCAGAGCTCCTACCCCAAACCTAAGGAGCTGATTTACACAGAAAGGGTTTTAAGCAAACCTGCACAAACGCGAACATGCTCTAAGAAAAGGATATATTTTAGACTACTTCCAGCATACATTCACTGGCACCCAGTAAAATGGACCAAGGTAGAAAGCATTTTAGCTTTCATAGCACTAACAGCTAAAAAGCACACAGCATATAATACTTTGATCTTGAAGTGGGTAATCATGGAAGTTCCAAGATTGTATCCACTAGGTTAGCCTGAGTATTCATCTATAAAAATATTTTTTTCAAAAACGCACAAACGAGGGTTATGAAAACAATGGGACTACATCTGGACCTGTAGAAGACAGTGGTAAAAAGACTGCACATGTAAGACTAGGATTTGATTTTCACATGTAGCTTTTAGGTAAAGGAAATCTCTAAGTTGATTCCTACTAGCTGTGATGGTAGGATTTTCAGAAATCTTGAGATGGGCAGCTAGCTGCAGTTAACTCCTAGATAAATACTCCCAGTCAAAACCCCCACTGAGGCTGTAGGACTCAAACCGTGATCAGCTGTGGGTGCATGAAAAGCCTCCTGGGACATGTGAGGCCTGCTGGGCCAAGGGTTGATGATGGTAAATTTTCCCAACATGGACACCCTGACATGAATGCTGGGGACAGGCATCCCAGGTAGAATGCTGTTTGCTGCAGGAGCCAGACTCCGAAGCCTGCGAGAGGGGTCTACTCGGGGAGGAGTACTAGGGTTACCAAAACCAAGAATGTCTTGTGCCAGAAAGGTCAGGTAATTTGTCTTCTGACCCATCAATACTTAACATTAATGAAGAGTTGCAGAAGAGTCAGTCTTTCCAAAATGTATTCTTCTGACATCATTAGCCAAAGCCTCTCCCAGTCTATTGAGCTGGTGACGTCCAGGAAGAGCCCGGAGCCTGAAGGTGAGACCTAGGGCCGCAGATTGTTCTGGGAGGCTGGCACAGAAGATGATTTGCACAGTGACGTCACCACTAAACCACTGCTCAAGTCCAGTCCCCGGCCTTCTTTTTCCTACAAGAGAACACCACAACTTTAAGAGGCAAGGGACAGAAGAAAGTCCTTTCTAGCTCTGATTGGGGAGGGAGGTATTTAGGGTGGGCCACCAGGGAGCACATAGGAAGAGGGAGGATGTGATTTTGCATTTTTGTTCAGCACTGGTCCCTCAAAAAATGTACCTCTCAGGGTACACTGGACCCTGGAGGTCCAGTGGTTAAGACCCCACTGCAGGTAGCATGGGTTTGATCCCTGGTTGGGAGAACCAAGATCCCGTGTGCCAAGCAGCAAGGTCAATACAAACAAAACAAAAAACACCTCTCTTCAACGAAAAATATTTCCTTCTCCTATTAAGATCCTGCGTTACAAGAAAGGCAAGGCAATTAAGACTTGTTTTTTGGCTTTGTCATTTTGATTATACATGGACCCTGTAAGGTGTCTGGGACCTTTGGTTTCACCAAAACTATGAATGTGTAATTCTTCATAAGCACCCCAGGCCCCAGCCAGTGGGGGACAGCAGCTGCTCTGCCGGTATGTTGCTCGCTGTCTGGCTGACACTGGCCAGTCTTACAGTGGGGAGCACAGAGGGTGGTTTGTGCCTGAGAGGTCCACTTGGAATTTTCTAAGCGGTTCAGTGTGGCATAACAGACAAGAAGGACTTACTGCTCGGTAGTCCAGAAACATTTCTTTAAAAGCCAGAAAATCCGTAAATGTGAGGAGCATGTCAAAAATGTCACCGGCCACTTCATCTTTATGGTGCCTGAGAAGGAAAAGGGTGGTTGCTTCATGAACAACTGATGACACAGACCATCTCCTTGAGATTTCCTTCAAAGGTATGGAGGGCCTCCCACCCAGGACCTAACCACCAAGTGCTCTGAAGCTTGATGTTCAAGCACTGGGGGAAGAAAAAGGAGGGTCTATGAATTTTCAGAGTTGAGGAGGAGCAGGGTACCAAGAAGTATAAAAAGTCAAGTTCAACTCACTGTAAAGTTGTAGTGAAAGCCGCCATGTTAAATCCAGGAATCCGCTCCAACAGCTGTTCTTCTATATACTTTTCTACCAAAGAAATCTGTAACAGTAAAACTTCTTTTCAGAAAGCCTGTTCTCCAGCCCTTTGCAAACATTTCTGTGTGCCTGGCTCCCCGCTGAGCGCTGGGGGCACCAGAGAGAACCCAAACCCAGCTCCTCTCTTCACTGAGCTCATCCCACCCCCTGCCCTCGGCCCTCCAGGGGAGAGGTGTATGCAGGTAATTACATTGCAATGAGAGGAATGCTCCCAGGTGGGTAGGGTTAGAGAGCAGAAGGGCTCCCACCCCCCATGGTACGAAATGAAGAGTGAAGTAAGTGGGGGCTTTTCTGCCTGGGTAGATAGAATCCGTGGAAAGAAACAGATGAAAAAGCATACACTGAAAGGCAATCACAGATCTGTTAAAAGCGGAGGCCTGGCTTAAGAAACTTTCACCAGCTCTACCACACTTTTGCATTCAAGGAATTAAGTCCTGGAGGTTCAAACGTCTCAGACAGATGAGATCCTAACAGGAGGCTGCACAGGGCCTTGGCATATGCAAAGACCCAAGGGTCCAGAGCCAAGGTTCCTGGGTTCTAGTTTGGTTTTGCCACCAACTAGTTAGTGATCTGGGTCTTGGTTTTCACTTTATCTAACAGTCATGCATACTTGATTGAATTATGTAGTAAGGAAAAAGTGTGTGAAAACTGAAAGGTCAAAAGTATGTAAGTGCAAGGTATGGTGAACCCATATACTGTAACTGAAAGCAGGATTATGATAAAGTCAACCATGTTTTTAAAATAGATGAGATCATTAACTATTGGAAAACAGCTCCAAGAACTATGCAAAAGAAAACAATAGGTGATGAAGATTAAGTCCAATTCTAATTAGACTTCCTAGCAGGGTGCTGGTGGCAGATTCTAAAAGTTGAGCAGATTTCAACATTATTTGATCCTAAATTCATATTTTAAAGAAATCCTAAGTTCATATTTCAAAGAAATCCTAATCTCCAGTAAGAGAAATAGGAACCCACTTACGTATTCATTAAAAATAGGTGTGTAGGTAAGCTTATTCTCTTCCGTGTCTTCAAACTCCTGGTAGTACTTGTCCATGAAATTCCTCTGTAATAACTGGAACTCATCATCTGAATCGCAATAGGAAACATATATTCTTTTTAACATGCAGGAATTAAATGGCAGCAGAACTGCTTTCTAAATGGCCAACCTTTAGCAGAGGGAAAGCTGAAGGTGTTAAGTGTAAAGTTTGGTGGCATTAAGGGCCTTCACACTGTGTGCAACCACCCTCTAGTCCATTTCAAACACAGCCACACGGACAGGCTGGCTTGGGAACTCCACAAATGGTTCTCTTAAATTCAGCTGCAGTGGTAAGAACAGTGTAGTGATTAGATGGACAGGCTCTGACAGAGGCTAGACTACCGGAGTTTAAATCCCACCTCAGCCACTAACACTGCGTAACCTTGGGCAGGTTAATTTCTCTGAGTCCCAGTTTCTTCAACTTCAACTTCAGAGTACCTATCATAAAAGATTGCTAGGTGGCATTTAGATGAGGATTCACGTATAGTGACTGATTCATAGCAAACACTTACCAGGGTTTAGGGAATTTCAACAACCAAATAGAATATCATTTCCAAAAACAAAAGGAATGCTTCACAAATGGCCTAGACTTAGGAATAAATGCCCTGGGCTTTCAGAAAGCTCATTTCCCTCACTGCACACAGGGTTCTTGTAGAGGCCAAAAGAACTCCAGGTATTCCTCAGCATTCCCCAGGAATCCTCTGATCGACATGGGACCTTAATGGTATATCTTCATCTGTATTTAGGAGTTAAGGTCATGAACCTTTATAGGACCCAAAGGTACAAAACTGGGTCAAGTGATTTTCACTAAACAAGACTAAGAAATACAGCTAATAACACTATAACAACAGTGTTCTTTTCCAAAGTCACCCATACAAGAGATTTTTTTCAAGTTTTTCTCTCCCACATATTTGTCTTAGATGACAGATGCCTGTTACTTAGCAGGACCTATGTATGCCAAAGTAAAAGTTGCTCAGTCGTGTCCAACTCTTTGTGACCTCATGGACTATACAGTCCATGGAATATATTCCAGGGCAGAATACTGGAGTGGGTAGCCTTTCGCTTCTCCAGGGGATCTTCCCAATCCAGGGATCGAACCCAGGTCTCCCACATTGCAGGGGGATTCATTACCAGCTGAGCCGCCAGGGAAGCCCAAATGAATCCACAAATATGAACTCAGGACATAGGAAAATATGGAACCAGCTGAAGCATGACACCTTGTTCCTCATGGACATGTGTGCTATGGTTACGCTATTACACTGCTCTATGTCACAAAAATATTAAGACTCAAGACTAAAAACCGCTCTTACTCTGTGAAATAAAGTAGTTAATATTTGGTGAAGTTTTGCCATAAGCCCCATAACTCCAAAGTGCCCTGTTACTTGAATGAGTCCCTTCCAGGGACTGAATCTATGGTAATCAATTATTTTCAGGAGTAGGGGCTGTATGCCTTTAAGGCAAACCACAGGACGGCTTACTTCGTATTTCAGTATGCCACATTAAACATTATATGCAGCATGATGTTTTCTCCCTTTTTAAAAATTAACTCTCCAAGTGGATTTCAATGTCGTTAAATATGAGAGTCTAAAAACTAAAGAGCCGGAGTTGGGAAGCTTACCCATGATAATGTCCTCTAAATATCCAACCACAGCATCAAATTCTGCATCAGAGGCGGAAGAGCTGAAAAATAGACCTGGATTAGGTACTGTTTCAGCTTAATTCCTCCTCCCCCCCGCCCCCAAAATGTACTATGGCCCTTTTCAAATGAATTCTCCATCACCCGGCCTCAACAATTAAGAATGATTTACTGTTTAATCTAGCTTTTGCACGCTGAAGAAAACACATTTTACACACCCGTGACGTCAAAGTTTAATGTAGTGTATCTACTCTCAGGAAACTGATGGGACACAGGAGTCACAAAGGGACAAATAAAAGGGGTCAAGGCTCACATCAGGCATTTTAAGTCTCCTCACATTTATTTCCTGTGGCTTCTACTCACCGCATCTTCACTATCACCCCACACCAATCTACTTGCGGGCGGGCGTAAACCTGGTGCGGTCAACACACAGGCCGGGGTGGGGAGGGGCAGTTAGAGTCCCAGGGGGTGGTGGTGTGGTGGTGGTGGTGGCGGCGAATCTTCTGACCCGCGGTCGGGCGGGCCTCGGCCACTCAAACCCACCAGGTTTTGCTGGCGACTAAGGACTGGAGACCGGGGGATTGTGACAGAGGCGTGTATCGTCGCGCGACACCACGCTGCGCTCCTGTCCTCCGCGCCTGAAACCCCGCGGTCGCCGCAGCGGCAGAGTCCACAGCGGGAACTGGGGTGGGGTGGGGTGGGGTGGCGTGGTGCGGGGGGAGTCTTGTTGGCTTCCCACCCCCACTGAGGGCACTGGTTTCGCAGGGCGGAGGCCTAGGCCAAGCGCCAGCAGCCCCGGCCTTCAGTTTCCCGGGCTCGGGAGTCGTGACTTACAAGGACAGCGCGAAGCTCTCTTCCTCTAGGGCGTCCATCGCCGCCGCCGCCGCATCCACCGCGCGTCGGAGAGCGGACCCGTTGGCCTTCTACCCTTGCCTGCGGCCCGGGCGCAGCCTCTGCTCTGCACCGCAGAGCTCCACCCGGCATCCGGGAGGCCTCGCCGCCGAGGCCGCGGCCGGCTCACAGCCCAGGAGGGTAGCGCCTGCGTGCGACGCCCCGGCCTCAGGCTCCCCTGCTGCGGCCACACGCCGGACAAGCCTCCCAGCCCTGCCAGGCCTAGCTAAACTCACCGCTACCGCCACTGGGTCCGGCGTCAGTTACCACGCCCCGCCTACCGTCACCATGGCCACCGGGACCCTTCCGCCGCCTCGGGGCTCCCAGCAACCAATCACAGGTCTGCGTTACCCCAAACCAGGGGCGGGACAAAGATAGGGAGAGGAAGTGAGGCAAAGGGATGGACGGTAGCGAGAGGAAACTGGGCGCATCCAGGAGGTCTAGGGCTCACAGACGTATACTCACGCTGTCGGGCGATTAAACCCAAGATGTACCCAATGTGAAGAGGAAGGAATAGAAGCCGAGAGAGTCTTGATTTCCCCACTTACTAATGGGGAATGAATTACAAGATTTAAGAAGACTAAGTCATTCAAATTGGTTTTAAGAGCACTGTAAATCGAAAATCTTTTCAGAGTCAATCCCTTAGCTTCTGAGCCAGATAGTGCAGACATTTGATTTTCAAGATAGTTGCTCCCTCTCGTGGAACTACCACGAGACAGCTACCAAAGCCAGCCCCACCGCAAGAAGTGGATGTCTTGTAATTTACATCATAAACATTGACATAAAAAAAGATTATTCGGCAATAACTCGTTTCTTCGGTAACTAGGCAAAAGTAACGTTGACAGAACCACTTTGAGCAACGCAATCAGGTAACTTTCCTCCAGGATAAGCCCCTCTGAAACTGCCCAATTTTACAAAAGGGTACCCTAGACCTGTTCTCTGATTGGATCACTAGACATTGTTCTTTTCGGTTGCACTTTTTTTTTGGCCAAATGTGTGGTACATTTTAGATATGGTTCATGTTTGATCTGTGGGTCAGATGGCCAGCCTGAATGGACAGATATCTTTAAATGAACATAAAATAGCTATCAGTGGGGTGTGGAACTAAACTCGTTACCATGACACAGTTGTATCTAGGATGAGATCAGTTCTCAGAGGTACTATCTCTGTTTAGTACCAAGTAGAAGGCAGGCATTCAGAAAGGTTTGGTAAATAACCAGACCGAGTTAATACATGGGATCAGAGCAGAGAAGGAAACTTGATTCCATCTATTCTGGTTATCTAATGCTGTTACTAGCCACACAAAACTTCCTGGCTTAAAAAAAAAAAAAATTATTTTGCTCAGTAATCTGTAATGTGGACAGGACTTGGTAGGGACAGTTTGTTTCTGTTCTACTTGGCATCAGTTGGGGGTAGCTGGGATTGGGCTCGAGAAACCTCTTCCAAGAAGCTTACTCAAATTAGTTTGGCTGGAATGGCTCAGTTGTGGATGTTGAACAGAGCACCTAAGGGGTAGGGGGCTGTCTCAGTTCCTCTCCATGTAAGTCTTCTCATGGATATTTGGGTTTTCCCACACCATGGTAGCTAGGTCCAAGAACAAATATTTCAAGAGACAGGAAGTGGAAGCTGCCAGTCACTCAACCGCCTGAGACCAGAAACTGGCTCAATATCTTCAGCCTCTGCCTGGCTATATCCCTAGGTCCTACTTCCTCCTTTCTTTATAATTAATGTTACTCCTTCAGTGAGGTTTCTCTCCTTCCCCTCATCTGAGTTAGGTTCTCCTTGTTCTTTCTCAAAGCACTCAAAAATTTATTATAGTAAGGAAAAACATAGTTTTCTCCCCACTACCGACGTCAGCTCTACAAACAGATTTTTGTATACCACATAGTTGCAGTGCCCGAGACGTATTAGGTGTCCAGTAAAGGTTTGCTGGATGAAAGAGTGATTAGCCTTGCTTCTGAATTCTAATACTTGATTCTATCCTAACCTGGAAAGGATAAACCTGAGTATAATATCTTGGAAGCTTAGCAGCAGGCACCAATGAAAGTTGTGAAAAATTAAGTCAAAAAAGGCAACAAATGTTTTATTTATTCAATGCAAATTACTGTATTTACCACAAGCTAAAGAAGAGAACATATATATATATATATATATATATATTTATATATATATTTGAATTTATGGAAGACTAAAGACATGGAAAAAATCCAGCACCCCAACAAGTACGGCCAGGAAGGAAATCAGCTCTGTAATAGGACGATTTAATGAACTACAAACAAGAAAGGGTGGGGAAGGAAGAAAAAAATGTGCATTGAATTTAAGACATTGTAAAACTGAGAAGACATATTTACTATTCAAGTATAAACTCAGTAAGGACTTGGCATAAATTGAAAGGCAGCTGCTGAGGTACACCATTATAAAATAAGTTCTATGAATTTACAATTCTACCTTCCAATTTTCTGGGAGAAAAAACCAAACTCTTGAAGGTCTTCACCAGAGACCCTGAGAGGGAATAACACTTTTGATGAAGACATAGTCAACAATCCATGACTGAATTTACTATTCAAAAACATGTATTTATTTTAAACAACAGGAATACGTGCTCTCAGACTGTCCTCTAAGAGTTTTTGAGACTATTAGTTCAAGAGTTTCAAAGTATATTACTTCCAAAAACAATACTGATTTTAAAAAATTATTTTAAACAAAAACCAAAAAGACCTGATTTGATGGTACCTTAAAAATACCCTAAATACCAAATTTTCTCCAGTCTAACATTGCAATTAATTTAAGAATTCCTCCTGCATTGTTAAAACATTTTTTCCTCACAAAATGTGGGTACTGAAATTGGATAGAAACATCATGAATGTGAAAATACCACCAATTTTCTGCAGTTAAAAAAAAAAATTAGAATGTTCTTTGGAATCACTGAAATATCAAAAATTGGGTTTTGTTTTTTTGTCTACAGTCTGTGCACCTTCTTTCAGGCCCTCCATGTTGCTCGTAGTATTGACCTGTGGGATTCTAGTTTTACAGCTTCAAGTCTTGCAGTGCAGTATCCATGCTTAACATACCAGTGGCTCTCTGACCAATGGGAAGTTATGTTTAACCCAGAAATGCTGTCATTTACTTCTTCATAATGACTTCTGCCCAAAATAAAAACTTTAGAATATGAGACAAAACATCCTGTGTTACACAACCAAATGAACCCAACCTGGAGAAATCCAGTGTGATTTCAGCATTCAGGAGGGCACTGTCTCTTATTACTTTTCATAGAATTACCACAGGCCTAGCTATTGGCATTCATCTTTCCTTGGCCTCAAAAGGAATTTCTCAGGGCTGGCAGGTTGGGTCAGATTCTAGGAGAATTTTGTCTTTGATAAACTATCATTTTTTTTAGCATAAAATCTGGCCATGGCTATAAGTTTCAATGTGCATACAACTGATTAGAGATTTTTTTCTTTGTTTTTCTTTTCAACATTGGCTGAAATTGAGTAGAAATAAGCCCATGAGGCCTCTTCACGTGTGTCATGAGATATGAGAAATCTGTCTGACTCTAGTCACTATTTCTTTCCGACACAATGGGCAGGTCTCCAGTTGCAAGGCACAATCCATGCACAGATCGCTGAGGAGAAAGACATAGATACCCGTTAGGTCAGTGCTTCAAAAAGTCAGACTGACGATGTGCTGACTCAATGGAGCATGTTAACTGAAAGGGTAATAATCACACATGACTGAAACATTAAGTAAATATGTAAACAGTTAAGTCTCTCTTCCACTTCTGACCTTCAATCTTCCTTTTCTGAGGAATAAGTTAAAAGTTCATGTGCATTCTTCCAGAAAGTCTGGATATATACAGCCTATGCACAGAGATGTGTCTCTGTAGGTAGAAATACAATGATATTTTTTCCCCAGACAGTTATCTGTCTGTCCCAGTATCATTTGTTGAACAGTCTATCTTTCACCATAGATTTGACATAATGTCTCTATGATATATTTTTCTTTGTAAGTAGTTCTACCTTCTGTTCCATTACTGTGTCATTCTTTTCATATACTGGGAGGAAACTATTAACTTTTTTCCCCCTAAAGGTGGTATTTTACACATATTCTTTCTCACCCTATTTTTGGTTGTTTTTTTTTTTTAATTTTTAAAAATGTATTTATTTTTGGTTATACTGGGTCTTCACTGCTGTGTTCTGACAGCAGGCATCCTTGTCTGGCCCCTAGCATCTCTTGGAAGGCTTCCAGTGTGTCCCCCTTAAAGAGATGCTTGTGTTTGAGATATATATGTTTTTTTATATTGTAAAGGAAGTATCCATCCATCCTTAATTTATACTTTTATTTATATATCCATTTCTGTTTTGTAGTAGTCATTCATTTGAGATGGATATTGAATTTTTAGAATTTTTGTGGAAAGTGTTAATTCTCTGCTTGATTGTCCCTTGGCCTATTTGAGAAATTATATTTGATTACATTTGATTAAATACATTTGAGAAAGTACATTGATTTCTTATGTTGCACTAACCTTGCATTCCTGAAATAAATAAATGACCCTCTTGGTCATGTTGCTGTGTACTAGCTGCTGATAATTTAGGATTTTTAGGTTTATATTCAGTCATTCATTTTTGTGTTTCATCAGCTTTTTGTATGATTAACATGCATGCTTTGTAAGAAAATTGTGACTTTGCTATTTTCTCTGTGGTCTGAGAAGTTTATACAGAATCCATCCATTCCCTCAAAGTTTGAAACAATGTACTTGTGAAACCATCTGGGCTTTTAGAGGGTAAGGCAAAGGGGGAAAATCATCTCAATTTCTACCATGGTATTAATAGTAAGAATGTTTAGATTTTCAGTGTCTATTCTAGGGGGTGGCTCATGTCATTCAGTTTAGCCAGATTTCCTTTCTTAACCTCTACTCAACAAAACTGTTGTTGCTGAAAGTGGAGCTAGATTTTCTTATAATTCTTTTAATTTGCTCTTCTAACTTTGTTCTGGATATGTCTAGTGTGGGGACTGTGCTCATACTTAAGATACCTGATTCTAAGTTTTTAGATTTTAGCCATCTTTCATGAGCACTTATTCTGTGCCAAACCACCAATAAGGGCCAGGGAGCTCAAAGAAGAATAAGCCCAGATCTTGAGGAGTTCTGGGCTACAGAGTTGATAAAGGGAGACCTGGTAGCTAAAGCTCTGTGAAGAATAAGAGCAAGGCAGCGTATTGGATGGGCTGAATTACAGGGAGCTGGTCTGGGACACTGGGATAGGTACTGCTTGTATATAATCAGCACACGTGCCTGGGCCAGGCCAGGATCAGCACACTGCCCAGCTCCTCTTTCTCCTTCTAACCTTAGTTGCGAGGCCTTTTTAGGGGACTGTTTTATTTGCTACTCTTGCTGATGTTTAGACACTCTGTTCTACAGGATCCAGGCTGTCCTCATTTCCTACAACTGCAGAGTGGTTAGATGGTAGGGTGGTGCTGCTCTCTCAATGCTGAGGAGGGTAAAGAGTAAGTACATGAGAAGGCTCTAAAACTAAAAGGGATTTCCTAAGAGACCTGCAATTAGCATTAAGCCTTTTGCATTCTGGGATGAAAAATGTGTTAAAAATAAAATACTGAGTAAACAAAGTAAAACAAAACAAAAACATGGGTCTTCCATATCAAGCAGCTTCTTCTATTTCAGGTACTTTCTGGAAGACAGCCAGGTACTACTTAGCAAACTCTGAAACCTCCTTCGGCCCACTTTGGATATTATGAACCTTGATGAACAGCTAGGGAACTGGTAACACTGTAAAAGCAATTCAAGAACAAGTGGAACTTAGTCTAAGGTAATGTACACAAGAGGAAATAATCAAGCAAACCCTCTGACCTGTGTCCACATGGCTTCAGCTGCGTGTCTGCTACCTCATCACAACACAGGGAGCAGCAGTTTTCCCGGATACTGACTTGCTTCAACAAAGCAAGACGCCTGTGCCTGAGTAGAAAACACAGTTGGAAGTTCATTTTATCAACAAATAAACGGGGTCAGTGACCAGTGATGCATATGAAATGCCCTGAAAATGCTCTGTACATGGGAGTCTACCATGTATTCCCTAAGCTCTATTCAGTAAAGTTTTCACACGAGACATCTCATTTCAATCTTACAATGATTTTCTAAAACAGAGAATGAAGGAGGCTGATCATTCTCATCTTACCTGGTGGCTCAGCTGGCAAAGAATAACACACACACAGAAGTAAACTGCTTTCCTGAGTTCTGTGGTGGGAGCTCTAGCAAATTAATCAAACCAAAGGCGGAGGACATGGGAGCTTCCAGTTACAGCGAGTAGGTCATGACCTGGACTTGTGACTGGCATCTAAAGCGGGAGGAAAGGGCAGTCCTGTAGGACTGAACCCTTCTCCAGGGGGGTCTGAGGCTATCTCCAGGTAGACGGTATCAGAATCAAGTTCATTGCTCAGTGGTATTGGAAAACACATGTCAGACCATTCTAGTAGCAGGAAGAGTTGTGAGAGCAGAACTTTCTAGTGCAAAGACCCTGGGGCTACAGTAGCAGACCTGATCTGTTTCAGGAGCAGCAAGGAGGCCAGGATGGCTGAAGCAGCAGGAACACAGGGGAGAGTGCAAGAGGTCTAAGGAGTAGTGGAGGAGAGGAGGGGACAAATCCTACAGTGTCTGCTGAGATTCAAGCTTTCACCTTAAAGTGAAAGAGGAAGCCACTAGAGTGCTGAGCAGAGAAGTACATGATCTGATTTATGTTGTAACAATCATTCTGGAGACTGTCCTAACAGACTGAAGGGGTTAAGGTGGGAACAGGGAGACTAGTTTGAGGGCAGGAACAACCCAGGTGGGAAATGGGAGGCTTTGGCCATGGCGGGAGAAGGGAGAGGGACCAGGAGTAGTTGGTTGGGATATATTCTCAAAGTACAGCCCATAGGATTTGCTGAATAATCCGTCACAGAAATGGCAGGAAGTCATACTCTGCCTCATCAAGGATCCTCTAGGACCACAGCCAGGGAAACAGAATTGACAATGGAGCTATTACAGAGAAAACGTAAGAGAAGCAGGTGGCTGTGAGTGGCCGACTTTTGTAGCCGAGAGATGGGTGTACATATATGGTGTTTTACTGTGCTATTCTTTTTTTCTTTCATGTGTATTTGAAGTTTTCCATAATAATAATTTTTCGATAATAAAAAGTTTAAGAAGAAGAAGAAGAAAAAGAATGAATGGAAGAAGAGGTAAAGACAGAGAGGATTTACAATATGGAACAAATTACAAAATGCCAAGTAGAAACATGGCCCTGATCTCCTACCCTGAAGTCAGAAAAGAATACTGTTCCTATGAGTAAAACAGGAAACTTGGACATTAAACAGGTCATTCAGTTAGTCTCTGACAACTTCTGTCTTGGTGTCACTGTCACAGAAAACAAAAGTCCAATGTAGCACAGGACTGCCAAGCCGGTAACTCTGTTCTTATCCAAGGAATACTGCACTTTGGGCACCAAGATCTTAAGAGTACTGAGAGAGTACACAGAAACCGCCCATAAAAGATGACTTTCTGACAGTTGGTGCCTATTGCCATCTGACTTTTGGAAAGTTTAATTTTGCAGGGGTGGTTAACTAAATGCTGAAGCAGTTTTAACTAAGGTCAGCCTCCAGGGGAACTCTTAGATGGATCAGTTGGAACTTTCAGGGTGTAGGTGAGAAGACAGACCTATTTATGGGCCACATCCAAGAAAGACAGGCTACATAACAAAGTGATGGGGTATGGCAGATGAGACAGGTGTTATGTCACACTTTCACCAGGAGGAATTTAAAGTTCAGAATCCCTGTCAGGCGTGAAGACAAGATGAAGAGGGGTTCTCAGAATGAACCTCAGATCTCTGAGCTGGGAAATAAGAGGCCCTTTGGTTCTTGGGAGATTACGGAGGCTCTGTTGCAGCAGGCAGGGCTGTCATCACTCTGTGACATTTTCTGGTTCATCTGGAAACTGCTGAGCCACTCTCAAGCCTTGGGACACTGAGTCCAAGGTGAAGTACAGCCCAGAAGGGCTTGTTACAGACCTGCTTTTTAAGCCAGAACAGGAGCTAGGATTACAATGTTACGTTATAGACACCCTTAAGGGTGCAAAGGCCAACACTGCTGATTCCTTACCTTGGCAAAATGATTTTCTCTTCAGCTGTGAGGAAGGCGTAGTCATTAAAAGTGCTAAATTTCATAGATGGTGGATATTTGAATGGTTTTGCTCCAAAATTGAACTCACATTGTTGATATGACATGAAACTAGCTGCAGCAAAAAATCCAGATCTATAAATAAAAATGAGTAGAGATCAAGAGAATTTATAAAAACAAAGTGGAGGTCATACACAAAGTGGTCTTCAGAAGTAAGTTGGAATAAGAAATAAGTCGGAATAATTCGTACCCTGGGAGAAAGAAGGGTGGCATTCTGTTTACTAACATAGATGGGACTATAAACCAGAGAATATCCTGCTCTTATCTTCCTATATCAAACTCTGGGAGAGTTCCAGGTATGATTAAATGAGTCCCCAATTACTTGAAGTACAGTGATTTCTCACACAACTGACCATATAAATGGACAGTCTTTTTTTCCTAGAGAAAAGGACATTCCACGCATCTACTTGAATTTTTGACTGAGAGAAGGTACTTACACAGTAGATGAAAAGACTTGCTTCTCAGGAGGCAGCTGGATGCCATTTAAAAAGAAGATCATTTGCTTTTCATTCAAGTCTAACAGAAATCCTACCGTGTCTCCTAAAGGATGAAGTGGAACACTGTTAGGACAGGAAGATTCTGCTGTCTCAAGGGTTTTAATATCATTGTATTAAGTCTATTTTTGTAGCCCTATACTCAACGTATTCATCTTGCTTCTTCTGCAACTGATCTGACCCCTTTACATCAAAGTTTGGAAAGGAAAACGCTGCCAATTAATCTATGAAAAGTCATCAATTGTAAGATGCATCTCAATTTCAAAGATGTGAAATGTAGGGGCAATGTGCATTTTTGGACTAGTAAAACATGGTAAGATCACAATCATGAACTTTGCTTCTCTGGTGAGATTTAAAATTCTCTGAGAGGGAATTCCCTGGTGGTCCAGTGGTTAGGACTCTGTACTTCCAATGCCAAAGGCAAGGGTTCAATCACTAGTTAGAGAACTAAGATCCCTCCTACAAGACTGCGTGGCCAAAAGAGAAAAAAATTTTTTCCAGAGGTTCCATCTGCTACCATATGACTCTATGTCTTCAGAACAAGGTGGGGCGCACTAGGAGGCCCCCTAAGAATACCACCCTTAGTGCTCTGGTGTGAGGCAGAAAAGCCCTGTTTCATTGTATTTATATGGGGGTAAAAAGACTCACTCATCTTAAATCCTTTGGTCTAATTGTTGGACAAATTAACTGTGTGGTTCTAACTATGCTGGTTTGAATCTTTCATTCATAAATGTTATCATGGATATAAGGCCTTGGATGCAGCAAACCAGTTGGAATACAAATTGAATGGGACAAAAAAGATGAGGCTACTGATAAGATGTATTCTTGCTAAAATCCTCGCTTTGACTGAGAGTCCTGGTAGCCTCTTCCCCTGCAGTGTCCTGAGCCTGATGTCTGGAGAGCTGAGGCTGGACAGATGTTTTTGAGGCCGGACAGATGTTTTTCAGGCCAAGAGTGCTCAAGTCAGCCTGAAAAGCTGCATCTAGAGGGGCCCAGAATGTGTCCACTGACTACTGCCAATACTCTGAAGAAAATCTCATTTTATTGGCATTACAATTTCAGTGTCCTTAATTATCTCCACAGCTGCTCTAAGACATATACCCAGAGAGGAAACTGGAATTCATATTAATCTGAAGAATCATATGAATCTTAACTCATATTAATTAATCTTAATAATTTCCCCACTAAATTAAGAAATTTATAGTCTGAAATGTTTTGCTGAAGGAAGGGCTCCATCAGAGTTGAGTATCAGGAGAGTATTGTTCACACCCATGGTAGGGGATACAAATGCTAATATCCCTTCCCACACTTAATATTTTTCCATCAAAACATTTTTTTAAGTTAATATATTTTAATTGGAGGCTAATTACTTTACAATATTGTAGTGGTTTTTGCCATACATTGACATGAATCAGTCATGGGTGTACATGTGTTCCCCATCCTGAACCTCCCTCCCACGTCCCTTCCCAGCCCATTCCTCAGGGTCATCTAAAACATTTTAAAGCCTAACATAATGAATGCCTTGCCAGAACCAGATGTCTTAACCTAGTTGATAAATTCATGATGGAGAGGAACGAGTACCTTCTTTCCAGCAGGGGTGTAGGTGCGGCTTACTTCTGGCATTGTACCAAATCAGCTGCCGGCAGCCGTCGTATGCACAGGAGTATTCATCATCCCCAATGCCATAGCCTTCCTGGAGGGAGATAGGGCCCAGAGATTAGTGAGGCTCTGCCTGCTGTGTTCTGGGAAAAGTAAGTGTGTCTTTTACAACCATTAAGCTGGTGGATGCAATTCTAAGCTTTCTAGATGAAGGGAGAGAGCCTATTATGGTTCTTAGAAGGTACCAAAATTTTGACATGGAGTCAGAGAGAGTATGACCTCACCAACAAATATTTCCCAAGTTTCACATCTGTTTATTTCATTCTCACAAACCACCTTGAGGCTGGGAGTATTGTATTCCATTTTAAGAAGAAATAAAGTCTCAGGGAGGTCAACCAACTTGCCCAAGAACACATTACTAGAAAAGTCAAGTTTGGACCTTGAGATTTTCTGATTTCAAGGCTGGTGTGGGCAAATATCTTTTTTGCCTGTGGTACACTTCAAAACACCCCCTTGGTCAGAGATGTTAAGCCTGGGTACAACAGAAAGGCTATTGTAGGTAATTAGCAAACAGGTATTCCGAGATCTCTGAACATTATATAGGTTCTTGGCAACTTCTTTTAATACTTACTGCCTTTTAATTGTTTAATAATTACTTTATTGTTAACATAAAAGGTGGGTGAGATCTTAAGAAATTATTTTGAGCAGTTATAAGAAAAAAAAATAGAACAAATAGAGGAAACATGCAGACCAGACAACTGCTATCTTTAAGGCTCAATGGTGAAAGATTCTAGTGGAGAAGGCCACTGAAAATGCTGGCCAGATCCAAGGAAGCCTTCAGATCCTGGGGATGGTCTGCTTATTCTGTGCCATAATGCAATCAGAAGACAAGAGTGGAACAAGGGCTCCAACACACTCCTTGACTACTTGGACCACAGCATACTGAATTCAGATGTGTATTCTCCAAAGTGAGAATTAGTTGTTCCGAGTGCACTGCTCAGACTACTCAAAGGTTAAATGAACCTGTGTAAATTCTCAGCAGAATATTCACCAGTCTATTATTAACAGAAAGAAAGCCTTGCTATCCCTTTAAAAGCCTGAACAAGTAAAAAAAAAAAAAAAACCGTAACAATAAACAAGATAACTATTCTATAGGTAACCTGAACAAGACCTACCCTTTAGCTTCTCAGATTAATGATCTATCTTCAAGCCTAACACTCGATCATGTTTTCAACAGCAAAGCCCAATCAGTAAGAGTTAAAATAGAGGCACCATGAATGGACTTCAAATTTTCAGAAACTGGGTGTGTCCCAGGAAAGACTAATTCCACAAAGCCTCACCCTGTCTGTACAGGCAAAAAGATTCAGAATCACCAGAACAATGTCCATAGGAAGCAAAGTTTTAAGTACAATAACAATATGAAAATGCTGTATTTGGGGAAAGATATATCAGACTTCATCAATTTCTAACCAACCAGTACTTAAATCAGGGAAAAATGTTTTATTTTTTAAGGAAAGAAATTAAGTCTATCAAGCAATCTGGAGGGATAAGAAAATAGTATTGTTTCTTGAGAAGCTAAAGTTTTTGCAACCATATGGCAGAAATTAGTTTCATCCACGAGACAAAATGATCCAGCTTCACTGGCCATTAAAAAGAAAATCTGCAATGTTCAGTCTCATATATACTACACTCAGACCTGCAGTGTGCTGCCATATTAGGAGGTACACAATTTATAAAGCTTCCTCCCAAGAGAAGTCCATATTTCTTCTAGTCTTGGGACAAATTTTTACTTCCAAATGAAACAACTAGCTAATTCTCTGAGATTATCCCCATTTTCAAATGCAAAGAACACAATTATTGAAGAATAAGAAGGTGAATGAAGTCCTAGTTTCTTTTTGTCCCAGTCTTAAGTTTCAGTTTTCTCGCCTGTGAAATGGAAATTATAACAGTAAAAACTGTTACGGGAATCAGATGATAGGCTTTAAAATGAAGTGCTCTGGAAATTAAGATTTTTTTAAGTCCTAAAAAAATCATCTTAAGGACATCATTTGGAGCAGACTATCTGTGTAATTTATACTACTTTCTTTAAATCAGTGCCCAAGTTGGGCACTAGAAGACTAACTGGCATGTTCTCCAGACCCACTTATTTTTGACTACCTGGTGCCACATAAAAGCCTCATTCTTCCAGGTTTTAATTAAGGGCTAGTCAACTAGAAGGCCCTGCAAAGGGAAGGTTCCCAACAAAAGCAATGGCAGTTTGGGGTCCAGTGTTCCATCCTGGACAAAAATCCAGACCTGCCCTTTCCGTGGGCCTTCTTCCTCTAACTTGTCTTTTTCCAGTGAGCAGTTTAGTAAAATGCCATGAACAATTCCAGGATGCTGTACAGCCTTGCTGAAAGGGCACTTTTTTTTTTTTTTGGTCATACATTGACATGAATCAGCCATGGATTTACATGTGTTCCCCATCCTGAACTCCCCTCCCACCTCCCTCCCCATGAAAGGGCACTTTAGAAACTATCCTTATGGCAGGCAAAGTTTAGTTTGACTTTGTTTAATCACTTCTAAAACCCATCCTAAGATCTTACATATGGGATGGGAGGCTATATTATTTATTTATTTTTAATTGGAGGGTAAGAGGCTATTCTAGTCAAGGCTATGGTTTTTCCAGTGGTCATGTATTGATGTGAGATTTGGACTATAAAGAAAGCTGAGCACAGAAGAATTGATGCTTTTGAACTGTGGTGCTGGAGAAGACTCTTGAGAGTCCCTTGGACTGCAAGGAGATCCAACCAGTCCATCCTAAAGGAGATCAGTCCTGGGTGTTCATTGGAAGGACTGATGCTGAAGCTGAAACTCCAATACTTTGGCCACCCGATGTGAAGAGCTGACTCATTTGAAAAGACCCTGATGCTGGGAAAGATTGAAGGCAGGAGGAGAAGGGTACAACAGAGGATGAGATGGTTGGATGGCATCACCGACTCAATGGATATGGGTTTGGGTGGACTCTGGGAGTTGGTGATGGACAGGGAGGCCTGGCGTGCTGTGGTTCATGGGGTCGCAAAGAGTCGGACACGACTGAGTGACTAAACTGAACTGAACTGAAGAGGCTATTATTTATTTATTTATTGTTTTCTTTTTGGCTGTGCTGGGTCTTTGTTGCTGAGCGAGGGCTTTCTCTAGTTGCAGTGAGCAGGTTTCTCATTGCAGTGGCTTCTCTCGTTGCAGAGCATGGGCTCTAGGGCATGCGGGCTTCAGTAGTTGTAGCATGTGGGTTCAGCTGCAGTTCCTGGGCTCTAAGAGCACAGGCTCAATAGTTGTGTCACTTAGCTGCCCCACGGCATGTAGAATCCTCTGGGACCAGGGATCAAATCCATGTCCCCTGTACCAGCAGGTGCATTCTTAACCACTGGATCACCAGGGTAGTCCAGATAAGAGGTCATTATTTAGATTAATGACAAAAATAAGTCTAAGGGTATTTTTCCAGCTCAAAGGGTAAAAATCATATGGCCACAAAATGTTCCTGATCAAAACTGGATTAATTCCAAAGAGCTTATACTATGACTATGAGAAGGAAGCTGATTGGGTTAGACATTAAAAGGGTATAAAGCGGCAAGAAATGAACATCTGAAGGAAAGGGAAGAATCCTAACCTCTCGCACTCAAGTAGAAGTGGCCCAACTCTGCTTCCTCTAGTGGATTTAATCTCCCCTTATATCTGATAGCTTTCTGTAATAAAAGATAAATACTAAATATTGAAAACAAATATGCCTAGTAATTACAAGATGAAGTGAGAGGAGTCAAGCCAACATTTAGGATTCATGAAAGGAACAGAATTCCTACAAAGTTCCTAAAGCTTAAATGCAAGGTAAAAACCATCACTGATAACAATATGAAAACTGAGCTAAAGATGTGGCTGGGGCCGGAACAGAGCCTAAAAAAGAAAAAAAACACATGTAACCTCTGGGTGGAAAATTAACATGAACTTAAAACTTGAGGGGTAAAAAATAGCTGAGGTTCACTTGTGTTTTCCTATTTCTGAATCAGTTTATAAACCTGATGCTGCAGATTTGGCACCATGTGGTTTAGCCCAAGGAATGATTACTGGCAAACCTACCTGAAAAATGAGTATGCACCACCCACTTGCCAAAATCACCCACTGCTGCCCGCATCTGCCCAGGTCTCCACAGTACTCACGTGGTTGAGGAACTTGCTGTCCCGTGTGGCCCAGCCGATCTGCATGACGCCAGAGGTGACCACGGTAACTTCGTAGTACCACACCCCAGCATCCACACAAAAGGTGCAACGCACACTTTCGAAAGAAGAGGCATCGCAGCGAGCCTGGCAAAATCAAAGGGCATGGCAGCCCACCATCAATGCCTGAAGACCACCAGAGATAACAGATTGCTCAGAAGGTGGAATCTATCCTTTCTCATTACAGCTCCTGGTGGACTACTGTCTCCTTCTCTGTGCATCCTCAGTGACAAAAAATACAAAACTGAAGGAAGGATGCTATTTTACAGTTTAGTCCAGATTGAAAGGACTGGAAGACCTCAAAGTAAGAATTAGTGAAGGCTACTGGCTTCATTTTTAATTACTTACAGAGTTTTGCTCTCATAGTAGAATCTTTTACAAATGCATAAACACCGCCTTAACCTGTACTTGTTAGGGAGATGAGGGAGAGGATATTGAAGGGTATAAGATGGAATACCTAAAAATAAGCTAAAGCAGAAAACTACATAAAGCATTTGGTAAGATGTAAGATCAAAGGGCTGTCTGCAGCCATTCTTCAAACAGCTCTTTAATCTTGACAAGTCTAGTGCCTAAAGCGGCTGTATATAAGCGGCTCTTTCATTAACCTTCACCCCCCCAAATCAGCAACATTTCCAACATGCAGGGAGAAGGTAAAGTGCTAGATTGAATATAACTGGTTATACAGGGATTAAAAAAAGAAAGGGCCTCTTTTAGAAATATTAGTCTTTGTACCTTTAACTGCATAAAATAGAAGAGATTAAAGTCAGACATTTAAACAAGTCAATAAATATTATAGCACTTATTATATGTATAGGACCATGTGAGATAGGAAAGAGTATATAATATCTCAGATACTCTCTCTTCTACCACTTCTACCTCTAACCACTCTCTGAGTATGTAGTAAACTTCCATCTATTTTGCAAGGACTGCTTTTGTTCAGAATCAGGGCATGAAAATGAAAACAAGATTTTCTCCCTAGAATGGTCCGTCTATGGAAACTTTACCTCCAAGCCATGAGGCGAAATCTTCAGGTACTCGCTGACATCGTTGCTATTCAGCATGGCCTTAATGCTATTCAAGTCCACTTTCTCATAGGTCAGCTGCCTACCCTCTTTTAAAACTGCAAAAGAAGAAGTGGGCACGTTTCTAAGGCAGGCTATTGTGGAAAAACTGTTGTCATCGCTGGCTGCCACTCTTTGTTAATAAGTGGAGGTGCTCAAAAATGGCAGAATCGGTAGACATAACCTTAGCTTTGGGGCTTCATGGCCATATGAAGATTAATTAAGCAAATGCTTACTATGCTTTACTAAGGCAGCATAGGTAGGTTTATATTTCTGTTCCTTATAGTCATTCTTTTGCATGCAGCAAAATCCAAATGGTACTTTTTCAGAATTATTCTTTAACTGGCACTACACAGGCTGCGCACTGAGCAATTCCCCACAATGTTACAGGAGCAGGGGGGTTGTGCTAATTATGGGGCAGGGGGAGTGAGGACAGAGCAGTAGTCTAGTTTTAGTTCTTACAGCCCTTGGAGGAGAAAAAGAATAGTTGGAAGCAACTCTCAAGGTACAGATATGATTTGAGTTTTAAAAAGAAATACTGGGATAAGGAGAAGAGTGAAGAGAGGGAATTCCAAGTGAAAGGAATAGGCCCAGAGATAGGAATGACTGGGAACTGCTTGTAAGACAGTGAAAAGAGTCTGTGTTGGGAAGAGTTGGATTACACAATAGCATCTGATTGGTGGCCTGAATGCAGCAGGAAACAGGAGACCGATAACAATGTCTGAATATGAGAGCACTGCAATTAGAAGCATTCTTTCCATCTAATTGTCTGAAGAGTCCCTAAATTCGTTACCGCTAGAATACAGCCAACCTACCAGTAGAGGACTTTATATGGAAAAACTCACACTGTCACAAATGAAGACCAGTGATCCTATTTAAGAAGTGGATTTGGAAATGAAAACAGGCATTTTAATACAGGATAACTCCTACTTACAGAGATTGTCTAAACTCCACTGGGCACAGAAACCAACTTGACGTTTCAGATAATCAGGATCATCAGTCCAGGACTCCAATGTGACAAGCCGGTCACTAATACTGGATTCAGAAATAGTCAATTTATTTTCACCTGTTTGGGAAGACATACACCTTAAATTAACCATGGAAGAGTAGAAGGATTTTCTGGGAAGACTGATGGAGGGAAGGAGTACAGAGAGACAATTAGAGAATTTGGAAACTATACTAATGGCAAAGTCCAAGAGCTCTATTTTCTAGAAGGTAGCAATATCATCACTAAATTTTCTAACTATAAAAAGTGGCTAATCACGGTCACCAATTTTGATTCTTTAGGTGAGAAAACTGTTGCCTTTGTCACCATATTATAGACCTTGAGATGTTTATCTAGACAAATCAGAATGTATGCATGTTATTTATTTAGCTGCATGACTTGCAGAAGCTTAGTTCCCCAACCAGAGATTGAACCTAGGCCCACGGCAGTGAAAGCCTAGAATCCTAACCACTAGGCCACCAGGGAACTCCCCAGAATGTGGGCATGTCTGATGGGGTTCAAAGGCGTCAGCTCATCCAGTAACTAAGAAAAATTAACATTTTTAACAAGCAATATAGATCATTAGTGCAAGAAGTCACTATACCTACTTGTCTGTGCAAACTTTTCCAGTGCGATAAGTGCAAAAAGCATAACTGTGGGGTGGGACTGTAATTTCTGAAAGACAACAAAAGATAAATATATACAGACATACATATATATATCATTGCCCTTCTGGGGTGACAATTTCCTCTTCTTACCCATTGTGTGCTACACTTTTTTTTTGGAGCAGTCATAAAAGTTTTACTCATTCAAGTCCTTGATTACCCACTTGCTACTATTGTTAGTAACTGACAATGATAGTCTCCTAAAATCTTATTTTCTTGTTCATTTATAGATATGGAAATGTCAAAAGTATCTTGTTAAATGCACTATTTTACTTAGTAACATTTGTATTTGTTAAATGAAAACTTTGTTAAATGAAATCATACTGATTCTTACATTCATTTAAGCAAGCCAAACAGAAGCTTAGGAGTGTAGCTAAAAATGCCTTTTTCATTCAGAACCCTAAAAGGAATCATTCATCACTACCAGGTTCCAAAATTATAAATAATGAAATTAACAACTCATGGCTTCATTTTCAATCTGTTCTCGGAACCATTCATCACTACCAAGTTCCAAAATTATAAATAATGAAATTAACAACTCATGGCTTCATTTTCAATCTGTTCTCTGAAAGGAAGTCTACAAATGCTGATTGTAGGTGGGCGAGAGCAACAAGTGAGCTCTTTCAGTTACATTTAAGTTCACATCACATGTGTTCACATTTGAAGAAAGGTCTATCTGCTTAACATCACATCTGCTCCCAGCCATCCCTCCCCACAGTTATGTTAGGAGCCTGCAAAAGAGCTCCAGAACATCACCTGGTTTCCATTCACTCTTCTGGTGTCCAACTGGGTTCTGCAAAGCTCATCCCTGTTACAAAGCCTGTTTAGCACTCTACCTCTTGCCATAACCACCCTCAATCCCTCTGTCTGGCTTTTCAGACCCTGAGCCCTCCCTACCTGGCTACTAAGTGTATCATCCTGTCTCTGAGTACTGTCTTCTGATCAGACAATTCTCTGTAATATGTTGGGAATACAGCCATTTCTGGCTCTGGGCTTCTGCCAGTGATTTGCCTTTAGCCAAGAATCTTTTTTTTTAAAAACTTTATTTAAAAAAAATTTTTGGTTGCGTCATGTGGCATGCAGGATCTTAGTTCCCTGACCAGGGATCAAACTTGTGCCCTCTGTGTTCAGAGAGCAGAGTCTTAACTACTGAACTGCCAGGGAAGTCCCGAAGCCCATTTTTCTCCTCCTGTGTGCATTATCAAATTCTCATCCTTTGCTGTGACCCAGGTGAAGCTTCACCTTTATCAGGAAGTCTAGCTCCCCCAATTCCCAGTCCCCATCACCCATACCTCCCACCTCCTAGTCACTTCTCAGAACTCCTGGCACTTGGTCTGAAGGAAGCAGTTTTGCCCTTGATCATATCCCGCCATAATGTAGAGGCTAATTATCTTGTCTGAGTAGTTTTGTTCCCCGAACTAATCAGGAAACTTCTTGAGGGTGAAGGACTGTTAGACTACTTCTGTATTTCTACAGTGCTTGCTTAGCATAGTGTTAAATGCTTAAGTACGTATTATCTAGGTACTGAAAATATTTTTCAGATTTTGAAAAAGGCCAATGAATAGCAGACCTGCAAAAAATAACTTACAGACCAGACAAGCCTAGTCCAGCAGTGTAAGATATCTGACAGCACAGCCTTGGCAAACCACAAGCTTCACAGACCATACCAAATAACAACAATAGTTTAAAGAGCAGTAGGGAGCAAGGAGGGATGGAGGAACAGAGAGATTTATATACACTGGGAAACTGACCTCACAGTTTCCTGGCTTGGAATGCTGTGTACTTTTGTTTCTACTGTGGAGGTTCCTACTACCATTTGGCAGACTCTAAGGATGCATACAAAAAAGCCAATCATAGCACCTATCTTATGACTAAATTTAAAACCAGACCGACTCAGCTATTTTTGCTTGTAATAAATTCCTATCCTGCCCTTACTTTTTTTTTTTAAACATAGGATGGAATAGATAAACACTCAGGAAACACCTGCAAATAAAATTTATAGCTGATTCCATTCTCTGTGCCGGTGGCTAAGCTGGCAATTTTAGAAAAATGCACAATTCTAGATGACTAAGAATAACTAGCTTTGATGTCTTACTTACCAGACACTGTAGCAAATATTCCAGTATTCCTGGGCTAAGTAAACCAATACTTGCAGGACCTAGACAAATACAACAAACACTGGATATAATTAAATGTGTCATATTATTTGAATTGGTAACTAAGACCAACAAAATCATAGAACTCTTATCTAGCTAAAATTTATAAACTTGTATATATGTATATATTAGATTCAATATCATATGAGCTTAGCCTTTTCTGTTATTTTAAATTTTTAAAGCAAATAAGGAAAACTTTCTTTTTTAATCTTGGTATATGCTTTATTCTCAAAATTGACAAGATTCTAAAACTTATAAACAAATGCAAATGGCTACATATATAACCAAGACAAATTTGGAAAAAAGAAAGCAAAGTTGAAGAATTCATGTTACTATTCATCTTCATCTTGGAGTATGTATAATTATGGCTGTATGGCAGAAACCAACACAACATTGTAAAAATTAAAAAAAAATAAAAAATAAAGAGCCTGCGCCTGCACTCAGCAAGGTGCAATTAAAAAAAAAAAACCTCATCAGTAGAGGTCCATTATCAGAAGAGATTTTAGGGAGAGATGTTTTTACTAAAAGAAAAAACAAGGAAGAAGAAAGAAAAATATTTCTTGTATTAATAGGAAAACTCTTTGTTTTAAACTTCCATCTTCCCCTTAATGTCAAACAATTTAAGGTTTTCCCTGGGGGAGCTTCCCAGAGTTACCTGCTAGTTTCTCTGCCAAGCAGCCTAGGACTGCAGATGTGTTCCTGTGTTTGGCAGGATGACCTGAGTCCTGGCAAGCTACTTCTCCATTTAGGTTGAGAATTTCAGTCAATTTTTGGAGTGCATCCTAAAAACAAAAACATACAAGTGGATCTGAAAAATATATGACTTAGGTTTTTTATCCCCAAGGTAATTCTTTGACACAAAAGTAATAATCAGGTGTTAAATTAACTCAGAATTACCATGCAAACATGATTCAATATACCCAAAGGATACCATTATTGATGGGAAATATTATTTGATCAATCTGAAAGTTTTCTTACATGAATTTCTAGATAACATTTCACTCAAAATGTATCAGTTGTATCAAATATATGCTATATACTCTCGGGTCATTAAACAGACTAAATCCACCCAAATGCCAATATAATCATAAAACAACAGGGCCTAGTGATATTGAAGTTAAAAAGTTCCTTAAGAAATATTTTTTTTTATCAATCAAGAACAAATATCACCAGAATTTTTAAGGCAAATTATAATAGAAACCTCCTATAAGACTAGGCAAAGGTCAACTCATCAGTGACAAGATCAAAGACTTTTTCCCTTTGTCCATGTTTTTCCATGCTGGGCCTAAATGTGTGGGGTTTAGACAAATGGAAGATGCCAGAATTGAAAATTTTTAAGAAAGGATTACATAGACCATATGGAATAAGGCAACGAAAATTTGATACTTTTGTTTTAACTTGGAATAATCAAAGTTATGCCAATATACCAATATTAAGATTCAAAAGTGCTTTTGGTATAATAGTTTTTTTCTCTTAATAGAAAATATTTAAAGAAAGTTTTGTCATGAGGATATTGTTTAGAGAGAGAATCAGCTTAGCAGTTGAACATTCCCTTCTAATTTCAAAGAATGCCATTATAGATACCTGGGTTGGACCCATCAGCTCTTACAGAAAAACCCAAATGAACTTTTTGGTCAACCCAAAAAGTTGGCCAAAATGCTCCCATTTTTGACATTTTAAAAATTTTAAACTAAAGTTTTTGAGTAAGCTACTTAGAGGATGTAACAATTCATAGGTAATAAAAAACAAATTTATACAATGAAATTAATATTAAATAAAACAGACTTAAAATACTATATATAAAGAGGAAATGCATTATACCAGATGTTCTTTGTGGTCATTCATCCTGTGTTTAAGCACAGATGTCAGTTTCATAAAAGATAATTATTAACTTACCTTAGTGGGCAATGGACATTCATCTAGTAATAATGTTATAACAGCTGGTCCCAGTGGATCTTCCAATGGAATAACTCTAATTAAAGACTGGACAACGTCTAACCATCCTTCATCTAAGAGCAAATCAAGAAGATTATATGATAAAGTCACTATTTTTAAGATGTGAAAATATATAACTTATAACACAAGATAACTTCACATTAATATAGAACCACTCCTGGAGAATAGAAACATCCTATAGCTTTTAAGCAGCTAGTATTTGGCATGGACATGGTCATCAATTGCTGGTCATCATGGTAGAAACAAAAATTCTAATTTACAGGAGTCTGATGATTTAGGAGTATCTTTATTTGAAGAAAATTCCAGCTATGTTTCTGGGTTCTCAAATTATGATTAAAAGTTTCCAGCTTTTATTTATGACACAGGAGTTAACTGAGAAAATTAAGTATCTGAAACAGTTGGCTCTATTTTCTGAATGACATTTAGAAAATTGAGGGACAAAAAATTATCTTCCTCATTCTAGCAGAGTTATAGTCAAAGATCTGTCAATGCCAAAATAATGTTAATAATTCCAGTGAGATAAAACCATTACTGAAAGATGCAGTATATACTCAGAATACAATACAGTGCTTTTAATTATTGCCCTTGTGCAGGAAAATTTCCAGAGACTAAGGGCTTTTTTCCTCATCATGTATGTTAAGTATTTTTGAAGTATATTTTTAAAAAGTGGCTACATTTCTTCATGATCATTAATTAATCAATTAGGAAGTCTTTTTAAAAACTTAAAAAATACCTGTTTCTGCCATTTCGTGCAATGTAATCATTGAATAGGGAGGTTCCTGATCACTGAAAAATAAACATTTAAGACATCAAACTTGAAAAAATAAGAAAGGACAATTTCAAATAGAAGTTCAAACTGGAAGTATGGGGGGGGGGGGGTAGAAAGAGAAAGAAAGGAATATGAGTGAATGTAGAGAAAGATGGAGGAGACAACCAGAGCTATAATCTTTAAGGATAAATGCACACCACATGTACTTATTTCCAAGGTCACTGTCCATGACAGCCCACAAACATTAACGAAATGGGCAGAAAAGCACATGAAAGGACCACCATGAGGCCTGAAGTCAAAGCACAGGATTAATACTGAAAGCCAGAGCCCACTTTCAGTTTTACCTCTAACATCCCAATGCCAACAGAGACAAGGCAGGGAAACCAACATCATCTTCCTCATACATACCTCAAGAAGTGTCAGGAAGGCAAATGCAATCCCAAATGAGGACTTACAGAAGCAAGGGCCTACATAACATCTTCATTTTTAGGTGGTGTTCTGGTAAATATCACTATATGCTTAAACTTCATAAAATGTGGTTAGAAGAAAAAGAAACCAAACTTAATTAGTCTTTGCTCTAAAATGGCATTTTCCCCTTAATTCAGTGGATTTTCAAACTGTGATCTCAGGAATTCAAAGAGATGCTTTAGGGGAAATTTAGTAATGAAGGAAATATATTCCATCAAATTGATCATCTAATTATTTAAAGAATATATTCACTGCTTACTTGTTTACATATTGTGGCTCTCTGTTTCACTGTGAAAAAAGAAAACAAACAAAAACTATTTTCAATCATTTAATCCTCAGAATAACCTTGCAATATGGGAATTATAAGTTCATGTCAGGTACTCATTACGTGCCAGTGTTGGATGCATCTTATTCCTTTTCAAAATAAGGGGAAATTCTTATTTTAAAAAATTGTATTAAATGATATAACTAACTAATACAAACACTGATCTGGGGCAATCTGGCAATAATGAAATTAAGTATGTATATATTCAACAATGCTAGAGAAATAATTACACAGGTGCATTATGAGTCTATTTGCTGAAATGCTATTTGTATGAACAAAAATTCAGAAGTAGTAACCTAAGTGACTGTCACCTCATTATTGGATAACAAAATATAGTACTTTCGAGCATACAATGGAATACTCCGTAGCAGTCTCAAACACAATGTTGAGAGGAATTAAAACCAAAGAGACTTCTCTAATTGTTAAGTAAATTTTTAAAATCATATACAAAACAATATACATAAGCTTCCTACCAGACATAAACATATGTCAGACAGATTAGAAGAACATACCTTAAATTCAGAAGAATGGTTACCCACTGTTATTTGGAGGTGGGAGGTAAAAAGGACAATGTGATTAGGGAAGAGGGCAAAATAATAAAAATGACAAGGTCAGTGACCAGTAAGGAATATGAGCACCTGAATTCTATACAGACACACTTAAAGGACACACACATCCCCACCCTCAAACAATATAAAGACCTCCCTGGTGGTCCCGTGGTTAAGAATCCAGCTTGCAGTGCAGGGGGCGAGGGTCTGATTCCCGGTTGGGGAACTAAGAGCCCACATGCCACCGGGCAAGTAAGCCCATGGGCCCAAACAACTAAGACCCAATGCAGCCAAACAAATAAAACATAAATATTATATATATATATAAAGAAGATGATGACAAAAATTCTTTGTGGAACAGAAACAGAGCAGGAACTTCTGGCAGGAGGCAAATGCTAAAACCATCAGATCACTAAGCTCTGGGCCAGGAACTAGACAGAGGTCACCAGGAGCTTTACGTCTGCAAGGCAGGTAAGGGGGACCAAAGCCCCACTGTTGCGAGGGATGGAGCAGACTGACCAAATCAAGTGGGAACAACATTCCCCTCTCAGTGAAAGGAGTTGAAAAGCTCTAAATAGTAGCCTGAGCTGCAGGGGGCATAAAGTTGCAAGTCTCCAGTGACAGAAAAAGGCAGAGAAAGCCATGCAGCAGGACCTGGGCTTCCTAGAGTGGGGTGGGACCTCAGAACCACCACTTTTAGGTTCAGTTGTAGACTGAAGGCCCCTGGGCCCCAGATGGAGACAACAAAAGTGACAGAGAGAAATGGAGAAAGAGAGAACACGCGCATACACACACACACAGACACACACACACAGAAAAAAACTTCCATCGAGAGGTGCCTGCAAATTAAAATTCCAAAGTCATGAGAATAAGTAACATTAATACCATCAGCAATCTGAGGATATAATACCAAGAAAAAAAGGCAAAAGAGTTGAACTTCAGAATGATTTTTAAATTAAGTATATATTTCAAGTGTATTTCCTATAACAATGCTTCATTATGCCATTAGGAACCATGCTGTCCTCTCAAATCAAGGTCATTCTCTTGTAAGTAACAAGTAGAGAGAGGAGAACAATAAATATTAAGATCATTTTATAAATGTGATATCTGCGTACATCCTTTTACACATATTCTTACTAACCCCATCTGTCTTGTCTTCTATGTTTAGTTTTAATAGTCTTATAAACTTTGTAGGTTAGCAAATTCTTTTCTCTATAGCAGTTTCTAAAAAAAAAAAAGCTCTATAACTATGTTTACAAACTCTCTGAACTCCATTTTGCCGTTATATTCTCCAACATGTCCCTTTATAGTTGTTCGGCACCTGCCAAATTTTTCCATTTTCAGAAGAGTTTTCACTGTAATTCAGTAAAAACAGGTTTAAGGTAAAAGTTACCCTATTATTCAAGTGTACACTACTTGCCTCATAAGTCCACTTATAATGTGTAATACTGTACTGAAGCTTAGAAATAAAGCTCCTGCTTTGCTCCTTAATCACCTCTCTTAATCACCCTATAAAAAATATGGCAAAGTCTATTCTGTACCTGTGGGCTTAAAGAACACTGCTGTGGTTTACTTCCTTATTTGGGAAGGACAATTTTTCATTACAATTTCATAGCATGCTTTAAATGTCACCATGAAGAAACTTTACATAACAGTTTCTAGACCTTTGCTTGAATTTAGGGGATGTAAATGGCATAGATTTATATTAAATAGATATTCCTACAAACATATTAAAATGACATTAAATTCAGATACCAGAACTACTTCAAAGGCAGGTTTTAATAAACTTAGGAAGGCCTTTCTGAGATGGTTACAGAGCATATTTGTAAGAATATTTCCTAGCATGCTCTATAGCAGAAAGAAAATGTGTAAAATAAATTTATTTCTATGAGGATTAAAAAAAACTCAAAATAATATGCACAGGTATATCTTGCTTAATGCTATCATTTTTCAGGAACTAAACAAAACTGTTTTCTCATAAATGTGATTATCATATTTAGATACCTAAATATACTGGCAGACCCTGAAGCAAAAAGAACCCAGATAGAACTTAAAAAAAAAAAAAGCAACTATCCTCTACAGAGGACATGTTCTGTACAAGGCACCATTTCTATCTGTGCTCAGCCACATCCTGACTCTTTTTGAACCATGACTGCAGCCCACCAGGCTCCTCTGTCCATGGAATTCTCCAGGCAAGAATACTGGAGTGGGTTGCCATGTCCTTCTCCAGGGGATCTTCCTGACACAGGGATAAAACCTGCATCTCTTGTGTCTCCCAGATTGGCAGGTAGATTCTTTACCACTAGCGCCACCTTACTAGATGACTTATATATATTTTCTCATGATAATCCTTGTCAAAAAGGTACTACTTTCCTTTTATAGCTGAGGAACCTGAGGCTTAAAGAAGTGATTTGCTCAGTGTCATGTAGCTAGCCAAGGGGCTGGGCCAGAATCTGAACCTTTGTCCACTACAGTTCTAAAACTTACTGCTACTTTCTGTGCTATATGGTTGAGTTAAAATACTTTTTCAACTTGATCAATGCCCTTTTATCTCACTGTTATTCAGTCTGGGATTCTGCACTTAGACAAAGCAGGGGGAGAAACAAAACAGTACAGGTGTGTCCTGCAGTTTCTTTCAATTTCCAAGTTTCCCAAATGGATCTAGGAGGGTCATCTAAGGGATATACTGGTAAAAGAGGGAGAAGGATAGAAACTCCCCTTGACCTGCATCCTTCCACTGCCAACAGAAGTTGTGTGCAGCTACATTCCTGTTACCATGGGGTCGCAAAGAGTCAGACACGACTGAGCGACTGACCTGAAGGTTACTGGTCAAACAACTTATCTTGAATCTCTAGTCAGTACAGTAGATAGCCAAGCAAGATAAGAGTGAGTCTTCACGAAACCATTTCCTCTTGTAGGCTTCAACACAAACTCACTCCATATTGACTACATTCCCCAATAGAGATCAAAGCTTTCATCGGTGTATTCTGCTACAGAAATGTTTAGACATTTCCAGACTGGAGTAGGTGTTAACAAGTAAAATGATCAAATCTTATAATTTACTCTGATGAGAAATGAAATAGTCTCCCCCTGCCCTATGAGTAATGAGGCTTGGCAGATATATCCTAACGCACTGAAGGAGTCCAAGAGTTATGATTCCTGGCATAAGGCTTTTCATTAGATAGGAGGTGACCGTAAGCCAGATACTTACTTATCTACAAGAGTCCGTATGACTGCCAGTGTGTCCAGCACTAGTCCATCTACATTTTGTTTTTTTCTCCTTGGCTCATGAGGCCCTCGGCCTCTCCTTGGCGGCCGCACAGGGTCCCGGGGCTGGCTTCTCACGTCCGCAGCAGGCACTGCACGGTTATCAGCCTGCTGCTGCTGGGCGTCAACGCTGTCTTCCGCGCCACTGTCGTCTCGGCAGATACAGGAATTGCCCATGGTCGCGGCGGCACCTCCAGTCCCCAGGAAGCGGGCTATGTGCTCCTCAAGAGTCAACTGCAGACCCTGGCCAAGGCTTCTGCTTGCTAAGAACACGGCCCAACCAAAGACAATCATTTAGATAGTTTTCAGTTTTCCAAGTACTGTTTTCATAATCTGGAGTTGAGGAACTTGCATCCTATTTGTTTCTCTCAACTGAATGCTGAAGAAAGTTGCAGAGATGATCTCCAACATCATCAATTACAAGGAATCCTGGTCATCCAGTCACAGGTCTAAAAGAGAAAAGGAAAATGAGTCAAAGGTTTCTTGGCTACTCAATTACTCAGACCTTCCTAGTTTGATTTTATAGATATTAGGACTACAGTGAAGAATCATCTTTGGTTATTTTTATAGGCTTCTGATGCAAAGAGATGTCTTTATGTAAGAATTAACAACCAGTGATTTCTTTTTGTCATTATAGTATAAAGTTGGTTGCTAAACCACATCCTTGTAAACTATAGGAGTTACGATAGATTTCTTTTTGAAATGTATGTGTTTCTATCCATATAGAAATACATTAGAAGAATGTATTCGTACAACTGCTTTAAGGCCTCCTTTTGTGGATTAAAAAAAAAAAACAACTATTTCTTGAGTGAATGAGAAAATTTAATACGTTTCAAATAAAATATCTAATTATAAATGTCTGTTGTTAAAAAAAAGTTATCATACAATGTGATAGCACCCACTTGATAACAAGAATAATACAAGGGTAGAGTGTTCCATTTAAATGACCAAACTGCATAGATTTCCCATTTGGAGGACACTTGAGAATTCACAGAGATAATACAAGTAATTACAAAGTTTTTCCTTTATGAAAGCAAGACTTTGTTTGGGGGAAGGTCAATATATATCACAAGGTTACATTTTTCACAATGATAAGTTTGCTGCACATGTCTGCTACAAGGTTAAGAACAGGGAAGTACCAATGATCTTTGTCTGAAAATACTGACTAAGCACCTGCTACCAGGCACCAGGTCGGCACTGGGAGAATAAAAAACAAGATATAGTCCCCACTCTCCAGAAATTTGTGGATAGCCATTCTCATCCCACACAGCATGCTTATCATTAAAAAAAAAAAAAAAGCCTAATGATAGAGTCAGCTCTTCATTAAGTTGAGAAAATCTGGTTAGGTGTAAAAGGAAGTAAAGATTTGGAAGCAGGAGACTTAACACAGTAGCAAAGGGTGAAAAAAAAAATCATGTGGAGACCTGAAGACCAGGAGCCGTAAGGACACCAACAGACACATAAGGATTAGAGACTGGTATGGAGTCTCTATGCAACATTTGCTATTTACAAATAAATCCTCCTATCTTGAGCACTGGCTTAGGAATAGATATAAATATTAAAATAACTTAGTGGGATCAGAAGCAAGAGAACACTTGTTTCTGTTATTTTGGACAGATTTGCAGCAAATTCTTTCAAATATTTGCCCAGTTTAATTACTACTCATAAGGGAAAAAAATGGAAGGAAAAAAGTAGATGGAGATAAAAATTCTTTATATATATAATACTTAATCTAATGTAATAGTGGGAAAGAGGGGGAGGGACAGGGGAGGGGAAGAAGGGGAGAGGAGAGGCAGTGGATAGACATCTCCCTCCAGAGTACCAAGACAGCAACAGCTGAGCCAAGTATAAAACCACAGATGTTCTTGGTTCTTCCAAAAGAATCAGGCCATCTTCAAAATTTGGAGGTTGTACTGTAAAGGATATGACTGAAGCATAGGTAGGAGCGTGATGCAAGGATTCAGCTGAAAATAACCTTTTAAAAGAAAACACAGTGAGAATCCCCTGATGGTCTAGTAGTTAGGATTCAGTGCTTTCACTGCTGTGGCCCAGGTTCAATCCTTAGTCAGGGAATAGATCCTATAAGGTGTGTGGCGTGACCAAACATAAATAAATAAAAAACAAAAATAAATAAAAGAGAACACACTCTAAACCAGCAAAGAGTGCAAGTAATACCATACCATTCCCATCACTGCAAGGATGGGAGTGATTGTGAGGAAAGCAGTGGGTTAAAAAGACGTTTGTAGACATGGAAAACCAGTGGAAAAGTATGAGTCATGATACACATGTGATGTGATGATACAATTAACTATCCAAGTAGAGGGAATGAGATTCCTATCACAATCACAAGATTCCTCCCCATATTTGAAAATTCCAAATGGATAAAGAATTTTAATTTAAAAATAAATATATAAGGAAAATAAGAGTTTGTTGGATCTCAAATTCTTAAACTTTATTCCATCCAAATTATTTTTGCTAAGGCTTATTTAAACTGAATGTAGAATAATTCATGCACATTTCTATTTAGTACGTTTCAAAGCAAATGGGAGAATTGCATATGGGTATTTCTAAAAATCTGACTAATTTGGAAGAATTATATGTGGTGATTTTTTTTTTCCCTATTCCCAAATTGAACTGAAGTATAGTTCAGGTAAATTTCTTCCAAAAGAGTCATTTTCTTTAAATGCCCTAGAAAATGATGTCAGCTACAAAATTTGTTAAGAGAAGGAAATGTAAAAAAAAAAATTTATATTTTCAAAATTTTAAAACCAAAAACTTTCTTTTTTTAAGCATTAGCTATAAAGACCAGGTGCAAAGTAGCTAATTATGTGGGAGAAGCCATGAGGCATTTCAAAGGAAAGACTATGAAGCAAACAAGTAAAAAAAAAAAAAATCAGAGCTGTTATCTTCAAGTTTTTTAGCCGTGATCTTTAAATGAGCATACAGAGTGTTCTTGAAGGTTAAAGCCAAAAGCAGGACAAATAAGTGAACATAGTGTATGATCTTTCAGATTTATTCAAGACTAAAACATGGATAGCTTTTCATCTGGAAAAGCATCACTCACCACACTTCTCAGAGACTAAACTGTGAATACTTTAGGCAAAAGACTGAGTGGTGAAGCTAAACAATTACACTTTATACAGCTTTGTTTTATCTCATTCCAAAAAGCACTATGTGGTTCATTTTCTACAGACCATTGTTTTAAGACAGTAACATTCAGTCTACCATCTCATACAGGACACTACAGGCCACCTACAGTACAGAGCACAGACTTTGCAGTCAGTCTGGGCGCAGGTCCCAGCCCTGCAATATTTACAGCTATGCATTCTAATTACGCTGACTACTGACACACTTCAAAACATGGAAGATAGTAACAGTTCTTACACCTCACAGGAGTTCTGTGAGGACTACATGGAATAATACCTGTAAAACATGGCACGGTGCCCAGCACTTAAATGGATCCCCACATGCAAGATGTTATTATCAAATGAGTACACAGCTAATCAGAAGTAATCAAATGATCTGGGAGTTGGGGGCTAGGAATAAGACCTGTCTTAATTATGAGCACTAAGATAACTAACAAACTTACCTTTTATAGAACTCATCTACACTGCACTGAAACGATGTTTACTTATCTGTAGGTTTTTTCCAAGGGAAAAAAACCTTGGAAAAGAATGTAGCTTAACAATCAACCCCAAAGGTGATGGGCGTTAAAATCACTTAGGTGCCTCTTAAAATACCAAGTTCTGGTTTTACTCCAAATAGGCAATATCTGAATTTCTAGGATGTGGCCCACACAAGTGTTTTCTTAAAGGATCCTCAGATGATTCCGATGGCAGCCATGTCTGGAAATCACTGTGCTATAGAACCTAACACAGAAACTGGGACTGTACGCAGGACCTCCTGACTAAATGAAGGAACAAGCTGGAACACTAAAGAATGATTCTTCTGGGGTCTAAAAAGTGAATCTCCTTTTCCAGAGAAATGAATTGAGGCTATCTTTGAACACACTCTTTTGGAGAGGTCAGTCAAAAACCCACCAGAATACAGTTACATCTGGTACAGATGATGTACAGTACATGTCAACACAATGGATGAAGCAGCCCCCTGTGAAGCATCGTACTAAACCAAGATGGTACGCTGCTTATGGGTAATGTTATTCAAGGGCTGACAGACGGCATGGGATGGGAAATGAGTAAGACTAGAGATTATATAAAGGCAACACATTTGTAATATCTATATACTTCACCTTAACTTTTAAGACTACTTGGCATTAGATAGTCAAGTTAGTTTTGAAACAACAAAAAAATCTAGTCACATAATTTAAATATATACAACTATCAGATCTGCAACTGTGGCAACCATCAACTGATTTCATGATGGATGAAATTATTTTCTGATAGATGATATGGCACTGGATGCCATTATGAGTAAAAATACTTCTCTTACCATCTAAATGGTAATGCTTTTAAAATCATCTCAGTGTTCATAACCATTTTGCTGAAAGGACCTAATTACAATCAAACATTTTCTTTGCAAATCTACTTCTCTGAAGTGCAGTATTATTTATTTTTATCCTCCCCTTTGAAAAAAAGGAAATAAAGGCTATTCTTTCCATTTCAGTATCATTTATGACTTATTCTCCATTTTATATGTTTTAAAGCTCCTCTGAGAGGGGGGAAAAATCAACTTGAGCTCTCAGTGTTAGTGTTAAAGCAGTGAGGGCTGGTACTCAAAATACAGACCTCTACCATCATAAACAACTCACCACAGAGACATCTGCCAACTGGTCTAACCCTCTCTAACAAATGGTCCAGGAATCAATGATTCATCTATTCAAATATTTGCTTGCATTCAATCATAATACAGCTTAGTGACTTTAAGAACATTTTCTATTCTCTGAAAAATAAAACCTCAGGACTATGCTGCCAAGAAAGGAGAGGCTGGTTAAATGAAGGAAGAAAAACCAAACTTTGGGCATAAAATTAGTATTGCTGTCATTTTTACATTATTGTTCCAAAACAGTAATGCAGCACTTTTTTCCAGTCCACCTCACAGAGGCTAAATTGTACAGCATGAACAATAACAATATATAATACACTGGAAATCTTAATGATTTTCTCTTCTTAAAAAATGTTTTGGAATTTTCCCCTAGAACAGTGAATGCATTTACAAGTGATAGCTTCTAGTGTCATGTTTACTATGCTCCTCCAATATTTCATTATGAAAAATTTCAAACATACAGCAAAGTAGGATTTTACAGTGTATACGTATATACCCACCACCTGGATTCTACTCTTACATTTTACTGTACTTGCTTTATCACATCTGTACACACCTATATCCATCATCAATCCACCTTTTTTTTTCTTGATGCTTATCAAAGGCATCGATGTACTTCTCCCTTAAAAAATCAGCATGTATATCACTAACTGGCTTCAATATGTTTTGAGGTTACATTTACATAAAATGTACAGTTCTTAAACATGTAGGTGCTGAATTCTGTCTACTGCATATACCTGTATAACCCTATTAAGATAGGGAAGCTTACCCCATACATTTGCTTTTAAAATATCCTGCCGGACACTCCGAAGACCACAATTTTCTTGTGTTTAAATGGGAGGTCAACGTGTAAAACTTGGAGGTCAACAAGATTATTTGGTAGCAAAATAAGTAGGTAAGAAAGATGTATTGTATATCAAGAGTACACTTGCCAGTTGAAACAGAAACCACCTGAGGACATTTTAACAAGAGCATGTTTTGTCTCTAGAGTCTAAGATATTTCAAAGGAAAGGGAAGGGAAAGATTGTAAAATATTTGGTTGGAGCTTCACTTTTCCCCCAAAAGGAAGGGCAGATCTGATATTTTTACATGTCACTCAGGTGTTGAAAACTATTTGTCTGCAGTGGCAAGGAGCACTTGAGGTTTAAGTCACAAAAGGTATTCTTAGCCACGATCGTAACTTTCAAGTTGTCTCGGAAAAGCACTGAATGTTTCTAATACTTCTCTTGTGCACTGAGTTTGGTTTAAGAAAGTACATTTTTTGAGGAAAAAGTAGACAATTTTTTTGGTTGAACTGTTGGAGGAGTACTTATGGTAGAACAGAGTAAGGGATTACCAAAAGCAAATGACAGTAAAAACAAAAGAGAGGGGGGAAAAAAAAGGAGAAATGAATAATCCTGCCTGGTCTCAAAGGCTGAAAAATTTGCCTTGGACACAAAAAGGAAACGTTAAGGAAGAACTGAGGTAAGTGCAAATGACAGCTGCCATCCAGAGGAGAAAAATAAAGGTAATACTCCATACTATGGGGGATTTTCACCTCCAGAAGACCAAATAACAGGAAATAATATAGATGTGTCATTCAAACACATGATTCACAAATCTGAAAAGATTCTTCTGTTATAGAAAACTCTCTGCTGCTAAGAAAAGCAAACAAAAAGTAAACAGCATGAATAGCAACACCTTTCTCAATGAAATCTACTTAAAATGGTGTCTGAAACACTCAGTTGCACACTTGACTGTATATCTACTGGAACCTAAGAGGAAAAGTGTTAGTTGTTCAGGTGTGTCTGACACACTACAGTCTGTGATGGACTGTAGCCCATCTAACAGATACTCAGTATTTTAAGTGAATTCATTCTAAAATCTGTAAAAAGTATTCTTTGAAAAGCTGAGAACACATCACTCAATAAATATGAATCCAATGCTAATATGCCAGTCACAGAGCAAAGATGAAAAAAGGTCCCTCATACTTTTCTTAAAGGGATGAAGGGCAGCCACAGACAACAGAGTGCCCAATCCAAAATACAGCACCTGCCATAGAAGCCCACGCATATAGTGTCAGGTTCACCAGAAGGAAGCCTCTAGCTCCACCATTTTTCCAGTGGAAAAGGAACTTAGTTAACGTTCAAGTATCTGTACAAGCAAGTTTTTAGGTGACTATATATATTAGCCTTGGCAATAGGGGAATGAAGGATTTAGATCTGCACTGCAACACATTCCTGTCTTAAATGATAAGACAAAATATTGTTGGTACATATATCCCTGACCATGCAGTTGAAAGGTTAACTTAAAGTCCATAAATTTAATTGATAAAGATGAAGATAATGGTAATGCTAATGAAAAATAAATAAAAGAGGAAGCACAATGAAAAACCAAGATCAATTTGAGACAATACTGATGATAAATCATAAACAAGCACCTTTCCAGAATATTGTAAGAATCCCCATTCTGCACATGATATGGTAAGAAGCTTTGTGTTGCTGCCAAGTGTCTCTGGACAGTACCTTCTGGGAAAACAAGGTATCAGAGACAACAGTAAACTCTAATGTTATGCTAGTTTTGGTTCATGAACATCATGGTATAGTGACCTGGTAGATTATTAATAAGTAGCCTTTAGGTGCAGGTAAGTATGGAAAACTATGAAGCAATAAGAATTGAAAAAAAAGAGCTGCATTTTCAACAAGGTGGGGCAGGGTAGGAGACATACTTTGAGAATCATTGCATTAAAGGAGCACAGAAAAGGAAACCTAATTCTTTAGGAGGTAGAAGGGGTAAAGAAAAAAAAAAACCGACACTGAAACATTAAACTGAGGTAATAATAAACCTGCCAAATAAGGTATTTTGAAACTTTCTACTTGATGTATATAAGACCCATGAAATTATGCTTGAAAACTATCATTTCAAGCAATAAGAAAGTTACATGCAGGGTTCATTCCTTAATAAACTTAAGGAGTGTATCAATCCTCTGCTGTCCCAAATGCATTCTTAGTTTTCCAGAGCTTAGAGAGGGAGAAAGTGGAATATTCTCCAAGAGTTCACCACTACTTATTAGGTATTACCTCAGTTAGCCTTGTATATATCATAGTTATCTATAGTCAAAAGTAATTTTACATACTGAACCAGCAAGCATTCCCTCTGGACACTGAGAGGGAATAGAAATAAACAAATAGAACAAATATGTACTTTTTTTCTAATCATAAAGGTTGGCAAGAAAACTATTTCAAAAGTTTACTTATTGAACAGATAAACCAAAGGGAACATAGTCACTCATTTGCATTCCTACAAAGTTGTGAAAGTCTCTTCCTCAGGTTGTGGCCCAAGTTATGGCATTCACTATTTCATAACTGTTCTGTTTTTCAATTTTATAATGTGAACACCAGGAAAAACTATCCATATTCAATGGGAAATGCTTTGAAAATGCCCAAATATTTGAAGAGAAGCTACACAGTTTACTGCCCCACCCCATAACTCTTTTGAAATAGATTACTGGTTCCATTGCAGTTCCTGTCTGTGGTGTCTAATGACTTTTCACTTACTTTTGCAACCCTATGATTGTCACATCCTACTTTACAAGAATTCCACCACAAAACAGAAAATTTCCAATTTTAAGTAACGTAGGTAAAGTATCTGCCTGCAATGTGGGAGACCCAGGTTCGATTCCTGGGTCAGGAAGATAGCCTGGAGGAGGGAATGGCGGCTGCTCACTCCAGTATTCTGGCCTGGAGAATTTCATGGACAGAGGAGCCTGACAGGCTACAGTCCATGGGGTTGCAAAGAGTCGTACACAAATGAGCAACTTTCACTTTTCACACAAAATTCTGTTTTTATTTCCCCTTGATTCTTGGCCAATTTACTAAGTGAAAAGCTATTTTGCTGATGAAGCAGAAAAAGTCCACAAAGAGTATGCTGGAACACTTCCTATAATCAATAATGTAAAAATAATCATGAAGTGCAGAAATAATGAAGGGCTTATGAAAACGGCAAAAGCAGGACACAGATTAAAGCAGCAGGTTTGGACAATGTGTATCTTGGGAACCAGAAAGCACACAGAATCACCACAGGGATTTTTTCAAAAAAGACTCATGGAACGTAAGATTAGAAAAACAGGAAACTCAGGTCAGCTTTTTGTTTAGAAAAAAAAAAAAGAAACTTCAAAAATCACAAATTACTCAATATTGTTAAACCAGCTCTAACAATTGCAACTAACCAAAAATTAGGAAAATGTCATCATGGACACAGTACTTATAACATCATAGAGGGATTTACAAAGCAAGATGTCATCCCAGGAAGTGCAAACTATACATGGGTGAAAAGTAGAAACAATTGTTGTGGGAAAAAACTTTTAAAACCTTTGCTAATGTGCCTCATATATGTATGGTTTGGGGTGACTCCAGGAAAGCATAATATTCATGGAGAAAAAACTGAGGTCTCATTTATAAAATAAAAACTGAGGGAGAAAACATGATACTCACTACCTACATAAAAAGGCCACAAACACATATATATGGAAAAGGGGGGAGTGGTTTACAATAATGAGATTAAATTACCTGGAAGAAAATTTCAGCTGTCAGAAAAAAAAAAAAATTCCTGAAGGAAAAGAGTACATTATAGTGCTATCTCTTGCAGTATCATCAGAGGTTCAAAGTAAACTAAAACTCTGGGAAAAAACCATCCTCCACCCTCATCTAAGCAGGAGCTGAAATCATGGGTTTAGACAATATAACCTAAAAAGGTGGAAACCTTGAAGCTTTCAGTACAATATGGCTCCCGCACTCCATAGGTGATCACCAACTGTATTAATGCTAATCCCTTATATCTACACACTGTTTCACAGTTTAGAAAGAGCCTTCACTTTCACTCCTCAACAGCAACCCCTTTGATGGCAGAATCACAATACTTTCACACAGCTTGTAGTCTGCAAAACACTTTCACACACTGTGTTATTATACAGAAGAGACCCAAGGAGGTTGAGGAGGAGGAGATGGCAGGTAAGGGGCCTGGACAACCAGGGGACTCCCTTCAGTCAATTAAATAGACTCTTCTAACCTTTAGAAGTTCAAAGTACAACACTCCTGGGGGAGCAACCTCATTCAGACAGCTATACAGGATAGAACTGAAGAGTCTCAGTGGATCATTTCTGCCTCGATCTCCAACCCCAAACACAGGGAAACTGAGGTATCAGGTAGAACAAAAGCCTGATCGAAGAGTCACGTACGGAGTGTCGGTGGGACGGACTTTCCCCCACTCCACCTGCACTATGTCCAGGAAACGGCTGATTCCTATGTTTCAAAGTAAAAAGCCTGCCATTCCCGCTTCTCTCTATTTCCCACCCGGGCTTTCCTATGACTTGGCGGGGGGGGGGGGGGGGGGGGGGGAGGAGGATCTTCCTCCCGGAACCGCGCAGCAAATCCCCTCTCCCCAGGCTCTTACTTATTTTTCACATCGGGCCTCCGAGGTAGGGGAACCCGCTAGCTCTGGCTCCCAACTCCTAGCTTCTCGCTCTCTCTGAGGCGTTTCTTGACCCTAAGGCACGTCTAAGCCTCCCCAGGGATGGTCTTCTGCCACTCCTGCCACCTGAATCTCAAACTCCACAAAAGGAAACCCTCCCCAAGCATCCTCCTATCTACCCTTCTATCCTGGCCACCCCTGAGGAGCACCACTATATATCAGGAGCCTCCCAGGAGCTACCTGCCTCTCACCTGGGCCCTTCTGGCCGCGGCCTCCGCAGAAGGGCGACCCCCAACCACCTCCTCGGTCAAGAAACCCCTAAAGCGGAAACACCCTCTTCCAGGGTCCTCTCCCGGCGCCTTCAGCACGGGCCTCGCTGGAGAACCTCCCAGCTGCTTTCTGGGCTCTGCCCAACGCCACCCGCTCCCAGCCCCCTCCTCAGAATCTCCCCCAGCCCAGTCCGGTCTCCCCGCCGCAGATTCAGGCGGCTGTTCCCCTCCCTCACGAACGTTCCCAGCCCTGGGACTCCCCCCGCTTCGCGTTCCTAGGGGCTTCCCGGCTGGGCTGCGGCACTGACTTTCTCCAGCTCTCGGGCGCACTCGAGGGAGGGGGCGGCGGCGGCTGCGGCGCGACTCCTTTGTGACAGGTCCAAGAGAGCGGTAAAGATGGACGCGAGGCCACGGCGCTGCCATTACGTGCTGGGCCCACCCCCGCTTCGTACCGCCCCGGCCCTCCCTCAGTCCCCTAGGAAACGCCCCTTCCTCGGTGGCAAGCCCTCTTCCTCACATCCAATCATCTTTCAGGATCCACATCACGTGACAACACGACTCGGCCCGCCCTCCTGGAGGGAGCTGGCCAATCCCCTTGCTGACGTGTGAATGGCCCAATCAAGTCTCTCCCGCTAGCTTTCAAGGCACCGGATATCCATCTGGTTCTCGGGAGGAAGGGAGGTACGGATTGGATTACACCGCCGGAAGAGGGGCGGAACTCTGTTGTGGCGGTGAGGAAAAGGAAGCCCTGAAGGGTAGAAAGAAATACCAAAGCAAAGGCTGTTTTCTTGCTTTCATTCTTTCTGTTTTTACTTTCCTTCTTTTTATTTTTTTTAAGAGCGAGCGGCGTTTGCGGTGGCAGTTTGGGGTGGGCGCCGCCGAGGTGAGGGGGTCTCGCCTCCCGCACGCTGGTAGGTGAGTGCGGCCTGGTCTCTGGCCAGGCAGCGAAACCAGGGCGCCAGCGTCCTCGCAGAGGAGGTGGGGGGCTGCGTCTGACGTGAAGTTTAGGGCCAGGCCTGCCCCTAGTCTGCGCTCTCGCCCAGGGTTCTTAGTCACCAGAGACAGGGGCTTGTGGGGCCCAGCCTGAGGAAAGCCGAGGGAGCCCGTGGGAACGCCTCCAGGTCCTGTGGAGGAGGATGCCGACCCTTTCAAGCGGTCCTGGGCCTTTGGGTCTCTTGTCGGCTCCCCTCTACGTTTTCTGCCGGGTGGCAGGCTTCAAGCGAGCAGGTCTTGGAACGGCTCCAGGCTACTCCGGAGATGTGGGGGGCCCTGCCTGGTTGCGAGTTTCTGAGTCACAGAATTAGTTTAGTATAGAAACATTATGCTCTATGTACCAGTCTCTGTGCTCAGTGCACTTTCTTGTAAAGGAAGTCAAACTGGCGTGTTCGTCTTGCAGAAAACTTAACTGAGGGTTGAAGCGTCTTGAGAGCTGCTGGCCCAGGTGAAAGCCAGCGCGCATCGCGGTAAAGGTGGAGACCTATTTCTTCTTAGCACTGGTTTTGAAACTAGCAAAAAACAAGAGCTTCTGTAGCCCTTTTAAAATGCAGATTCTCGGACCCCCCACCCCAGCTAGTCCGCCTCAGGTCTTGAGTGGGATCCAGAAAGTCAAGTGCAGGTCTGGCGGTCAGAATTCCCAGTGACCTCTTGTGTACCAACTGTTGGATGAGATTCGTTGATAATTCAGCTGTTTGCCTTATTGCTGTGTTAACAAGGACCCCGTAAAAAATGGTTTGGAAAGCACTGCTTCTGAACCCCGTGAAAGGAATTAGTGTGTAGACTCCTTTTTGATACAAGGAATTGAGTAGAGACAAAGGCAGCTTTTACAGTCTTGCAAACAGATCTTGAGATGAACAGTTTATAAGGGTCTGAAAGCTGAGGCTGCCCAGTTATTTTGCTCAGCTGGGTCTTAATGCCTTTCCCTCATGGGGAAATTCTTCGTGGTTGTAACAATTATATCAATACCTTTTACCTTCCCGTTTAAGAATCTTGCTGTTGTGATTAGAATCAAGCTGCTGCTTAAGAAATTGAAAACCATGTATCTGGTAAATTAAGTGATTTGAGCGTATGGTTCAGCTGTAGACTCAATTAGTGTAATTATATCTTCATGGCAGGTAAATTAAGCAATTTCAGTGTGCTCACTATTGATCTCCTTTTGAACGTGCTTTGTCTTCATTCTCAAATACCACCTGTTTCGCTTTTTCTATAGCCTGTGTTTTACAGTTTATTTCATCTTTGGTTTTCTGAATTTTCCTTATGATGTATGCAACTGTGGATTTGTTTCTGTTCAGTGTGTTTGGTGTCTATTACACTTCTAAATTTTTGGATTAGTGTCTTTCATAAGTTCTGTAAAATTCTTAGTCATTTATAATCATGTACTGTTTCTGCCCTGATGTATATCTTCCTTCTTTACAGATTTAATGTAGACCTTTCTCCCTCTCTTCTTTATGCCTTTTCCTCTTTTTACTTTTCTATACTACATTCTGCATAATTTCTTTTTTATTAATGCTTTCATAGGTTATTTCTAATCTGTTGCTAAACTCATCTGTTGTGATTTAAATGAATTTATTGCATGTTTTAGTCACTGAAGTTCTGTTTTTTTCTTTTCAAATGTGCCATGCCACTGTCTTAATGGTTTCTTATGCTCTGCTGTTAATTTTGAGGCCTGGTTTTTATTTCTTTAAACATGGTAAGCATAATTGTCTTGTAATCCATATGTGTTAATTCCACTGTCTGGATGTCCTTTGGTCTGTTTATGTTGCCCATTATTCCTGCTTCTTTTCTTCGCAGTTCACCTTTACCTGATGCTGTAGTTCTTTGGGGTACCAGATTAAGATGGAGAAAGAGGTGGTTATTAGACCCCACACACCTTACGTGGGCTCTCTGCTGTTGACTTTTGCTTCCCAAGGGTACCAAAACAATAGCTTTCAAGATCAGAGAAATCCTCAGGACGAAAACCAGTTTGAATATTGGGCTCAGTTTCTGGTTTCCACCTTGTCTTGTGTTTTTGTCGAATTCTTTACTATCTTGTTAGCTTTTCTATTTGTTTAAGAATTATTTAAAAAAACTTTCAGTTTTATTTGTTGCAGAAGTGAGGGATTGGTCTCAATTACCTAGCCCACTGTTCCTGGAAATGGAAGCCCCCTTTGATTTTAGGAGTGAAATTTGTCTTTCAGGCAACCTTGAGTTAAAGGTTATTTTTCTTCACCTATCTAAAACTTCCACCACCTTTCACAGTGCAGTGTCCTTGTTGTTCAGTTGCCCAGTCATATCCGACTCTATGTGACCCCTTGGACTGCAGCACGCCAGGCTCCCCTGTCCTTCTCTATCTCCCAGAGCCTGCTCAAACTCATGTCCGTTGAGTTGGTGATGCCATCCAACTATCTCATCCTCTGTTGTCTCTTCCTCCTCCTGCCTTCAATCTTTCCCAGCATCAGGGTCTTTTCCAATGAGTTGGCTCTTCACATCAGGTGGCCAAAGTATTGGAGCAGTGTCGTAGCTGCTATCAAAATTAAGCTTCCCCAGTGCTTTTTTCTAGTTTTCATTTTCTGAACTCCTTAGTGCTTAATTTCTTTTCTCTTAGAGCATTTACCCTCATTCTCCATTTCCTTAAATTGTTCCTGTACTTACCTTCTCTCTTTTGAATTCAAATTCCTTATTGCTAAAAAGTAGTGTCAGTTTAGTACCTAGCACTGTGACTTGCACATAATGCTATTGCTGCTTGATTGTGTCCGAGTCTTTGCAACCCCATGGACTATAGCCCACCAGGATTCTCTATCCATAAAATTTTCCAGGCAAGAATAGTGGAGTGGGTTGCCTTTTTCTACTCTAGGGAACCTTCTCTACCCAGGGATCGAACCCACATCTCCTGCAAGTCTTGCATTGGCAAGTGGATTCTTTATTACTGAGCCACCTGGGAAGCCCTGCCTTGCACATATGTTCCCTGTAAAGATTTAGTTAAAAAATACAACTGAATGAGTGGGCCTTGTATGTTTGGTGTAGTGTAAAGTCCTTTATTTTTTTTTTTTAATTTGGTTTTGGAGAGGAGATCCATAAAGCTTGGAAGGTGGGGGTGAGAGAGAGTGTAATTTAATGTGGGTTAGGTTCCAAAGTCCACCTAGATGGTAAAATAGTGTGTAATCAAAGCTATCCTCACAACAAACTGTGGAAAATTCTTAAAGAGACGGGAATACCAGACCACCTTACCTGCCTCCTGAGAAATCTGTATGCAGGTCAAGAAACAACAGTTAGAACTGGACATGGAACAACAGATTGGTTCCAAATCGGGAAAGAAGTATATCGTCAAGGCTGTATATTGTCACCCTGCTTATTTAACTTACATGTAGAGAACATCATGCGAAATGCCAGGCTGGATGAGGCACAAGCTGGAATCAAGATTACCGGGAAAAATATCAGTAACCTCAAGATAAGCAGATGATACCACCCTTATGGCAGGAAGCAAAGAACTAAAGAGCCACTTGATGAAAGAGGACAGTGAAAAAGTTGGCTTAAAACTCAACATTCAGAAAACTAAGATCATGGCATCCGGTTCCATTACTTTGTGTCTAATAGATGGGGAAACAATGAGAGACTCTTTTTGGGGGCTGCAAAATCACTGCAGAGGGTGACTGCAGCCATGAAATTAAAAGACGCTTGCCCGTTGGAAGAAAAGTTATGAGCAACCTAGACAGCATGTTAATTATTTTGTTTTGCCAACAAGACAAAATTATTTTGCTGTCTAGTCAAGGCTATGTTTTTTCCAGTAGTCATGTATGGATGTGAGAGTTGGACTATATAAAGAAAGCTGAGTGCCGAAGAATTGATGCTTTTGAACTGTGGTGTTGGAGAAGACTCTTGAGAGTCCCTTGGACTGCAAGGAGATCCAACCCGTCCATTGTAAAGGAAATCAGTCCTGAATATTCACTGGAAGGACTGATGCTGAAGTTGAAACTCCAATATTTTGGCCACCTGATGTGAAGAACTGACTCATTTGAAAAGACTGTGATGCTGGGAAAGATTGAAGGTGGAAGGAGAAGTGGACGACGGAGGATGAGATGGTTGGATGGCATCACTGACTCAATGCACATGGGTTTGAGTAAACTGGGAGTTGGTGATGGACAGGGAAGCCTGGTGTGCTGTAGTCCATGGGGTCACAAAGAGTCAGACATGACTGAGGGACTGGACTGAACTGAAAGTCAGCCCAGGTGGTAAAATAATATGTAGCCAAAGCTATCCTTGGAAATCTATTAGGGAGGCACCATGTTGGGTATAGGTATACCAGTGTAGCAAAATTCCAACATGACCAGATTTTTCTCCAGCTTTGAAACAGATGCTATTTTTTTCTTTGAGTTTTAGATAAAGTAGTTGGTTTGCATTT